ATATTGTTCTTCATTACTTTATCTGTGTGTAAAGTATTTTATTGTAATAAAAGTATTATTACTATAACATACTTATATACAACAAAACTGGCATATAAATAAAGCCCCTATGTTCAAAATCTACCCTGTATCATCGTAAGCACAGATATTATATTATATTAGAGTCCGTTAGTTTTCTGTTCCCGCGCGTTCCCTTCCCCTCCCTAACTAGTAACAAACTGACTGTACAGCGGCCTTGACGCGCGCGCGCAATTGTTGTGAATTAAAATAAATTAGAACTGTGAAACCTACTGTGAAACTGGAAAGCTAGCGAAGACACCTTCGAGACCCTGAAGCCCAAGAAATCCGCAGAACCATACAGGTACGTGACAGACATAGTAAATTCCCTAACATTTTGGTAGCAGAGAGTAGTCTCCCAAACACCCTATAATCATACCACTAACACCTGGTATTGATTGTTCGTAACTTTCTAACTGTAGTAAAGTTTAGTGTTAAAGACATAAAGTAAAAACAAGATGATCGCTGTCGTAGACCCCTAGCATTTTGTCATAAATTCAAATTCAAAAATCATTTATCCATGTAGGACATTTTAGCCGCTTATGAACGTCAAGTTTTTACATTATATTTTTTTCCCTACCGTCCAGTTCGGTATATAGATCCAATTGAGAAGAACTGGTAAGAAACTCAATTGAATTACTTTTTTTTTAAATCCAGTTTATTTACAATGCATAGGTATTTATATAGGTGTCTATGTCTAACATTAAATGAAAATCCCGTGCATGAACAACTATTGCCATGCACGCTCGTCATTCAAGTAATCGTTTAGTGAGTGATAGGCCTTGCTCAGTAAATATGATTTAACAGATGTAATAGACCCCTGGGGTCGATATAGACCACTTTGGGAATCCTTGGCTTAGATGAATCTCAGTCAGATGATATTCACTAATCAAAATCCTTAGCGATTAACGTTTTCCAAAACATATCTGAATATTCATTTGTAAATATAACAGTCACATAGTTCTACTCCTATTGCTGTTCATGGGGGTGAAGGCATTGGTAGTAATGTGGGTTGCTAACCCCATTGCTAGCAATGTACCATATCAGGTTGACCTCCACGCGGTTCCCCCTGGAAACCATTGTGTTAAATTTCTGGTGAATTTGTCACTATGGGCTAACTGACCTGACCTCATGTTCTTATCATCCTCCACTGGTGCCCCGCCAGCGTAAACCGTTAGTGCAGGCGGGTGGGCTTTCCATTATCATCCATAAAAGAAATACTAACTGTACCAGCGACTTCGTCCGCGTGTAATTTAACAAAAAAGTTAATTAAGGAATTTTTCTAAAATAAAAGTAGCCTAAGTTAACTCCTTATTACATCAGCTACCTGACAATAAAAGTCACGTCAAAATCGGTTCAGCCATATTAGAGATTAGCCGGACACACAAAATCAGACAGACAAAAATTGTAAAAAATGTTATTTTGGTGTATGTACCGTATTTATATTCATATGCATGTAGTATATGTATAGATAATGGAACGGTGCACCCGCCTGCACTAACGGTTTACGCTGTGGCACCAGTGGAGGATGATAAGATGAGCATGAGATCAGGTCAGTTAGCACATCGCGACAATTTCACCAGGAATTTATTTTTATTTTAGAAAAATAAAGTTAAATTCCACGCGGACGAAGTCACGGGAACAGCTAGTCATTCTTAAAAAAAATATGCATACCTTTTGTCCTGTAATTTAACTCTTAAAAAAAATTTGCATACCTTTTGTCCTGTAATTTAACTCTTAAAAAAAATTTGCATACCTTTTGTCCTGTAATTTAACTCTTAAAAAAAATTTGCATACCTTTTGTCCTGTAATTTAACTCTTAAAAAAAATATGCATACCGTTTGTCCTGTAATTTAACTCTTAAAAAAAATATGCATACCGTTTGTCCTGTAATTTAACTGTTTTCATAAATAAAATAGTATGCAACGTAAATCGATGTCGAAATATTAGTATCGTGGTGGCCTTCGGGCCGCTAATTGGGTCATGTTTCGGAATAATTGGCTCAGACAATGGCTGTGGATGCTGCGGCTGCACCGCTCGCGGTGACCTCCGGCGTGCCACTGATAGTATAGTGATTTGTAATCTATTCCATAATACAGCCGTTTAACAAACATTAAGAAACAATTAAGTAAGGACTATTACTTAGAAGACGACAAAGTAGTTGTTTAGGCGCGGGATTTATAAATTCAAACTTGCTTTTGCCCGCGGCTTCGCTCGCGTAAGTAAGTATCATTATTAATTAGGTATAGTTTTTGCGGCTTTACTTTTGTTTAGCGTGTGTAAAAAATATGTGCCTACAAAATCTGAAAAGATTTATACAACTTTCTTCTTATTATATAAAATTCTCGTGTCACAGTTTTCGTTCCTATACTCCTCCGAAACGGCTTGACCGATTCTCATGAAATTTTGTGAGCGTATTGAGTAGATCTGAGAATCGGCCAACATCTATTTTTCATCCCCCTAAATGTTAGGGGTAGTCCACCCCTAAATTTTTATTTTTTATTTTAAGGCAAAACGACGTTTACTGGAACAGCTAGTAAAATATATACAAAGATTATGTATATTACATTATCCTTTACCCTTATCTATACATAATTGTTTGTATTATTGAAATAATCGTTTTTTACTACATGTATATGAATATAAATACGGTATATATACTAAAATAACATTTTTTACAATTTTTGTCTGTCTGTCTGTTTGTTCCGGCTAATCTCTGAAATGGCTGGACCGATTTTGACGGGACTTTTTTTGGCAGGTAGCTGATGTAATAAGGAGTAACTTAGGCTACTTTTATTTTAGAAAAATAAAGTTATATTCCACGCGGACGAAGTCGCCGGTATAGTCAGTATTTATATATATAATATCAGTATTTATTTATATATATAAATACTATGTATTTGAATATAAATACGGTATATATACCAAAATAACATTTTTTACAATTTTTGTCTGTCTGTCTGTAAGAAAAATAACAAAATCTCCATAAGCACTGCATTCTGCAAATAAATGTTTTGACTCGAATTGATTTAAATAAAACAAAATGTATAAATAATATACTTCACATAATCTTCATAAGTCTCCAAATTTCACGCGTACTTGGTTGATATTTTTAACGTTATCAGTCAGTCTTTGTCATAAATCTGGTTTCCATATAAAGCTTTGTTTAGTGCTGGCACCGCACCGCTCACCTTGGTACTTTCCCGCCACTGAGATATGTGGCGAGAGTGTTGGTCACCATCACAACATTGAACTTACTGGTCAAGGGCGGACTTCATTCATTAAATTCAGAATCATATTATGAACGTCTTCATTGCATCTTATCTTAATCTTAATCATTACATAGTATAAAACAAAGTCGCTGTTCTCACTATCAATCAGGGAATCATCATAATTACATGATATATATTTACATAAAAAAAACCATATATTTATATTATTTGTCTAGTACCCATAACACAAGCTTTGCTCAGCTTGGGATTAGATGGCGCTGTATGTCTGTCTGTCCTGTGATGTTGCTGAACTGTCCTGGGTCATTGTCATTACATAGTATAAAACAAAGTCGCTGTCGCTGTCTGTCCCTATGTATGCTTAAATCTTTAAAACTACGCAACGGATTTTGAAACGGTTTTTTTTAATAGATAGAGTGATTTAAGAGGAAGGTTTATATATATAATACATGTACACCCGTGTAAAGCCGGGGCGAGTAGCTAGTAATATTATAAGCGCGAAAATTTATGAGTATGGATGGATGTTTGTTACTGTTTCACGCAAAAACTACTGAACTGATTTCGATGAAACTTTACAGTAATATAGCTTATACATCAGAATAACAGAAGCTATAAATATTACGCGGTTAAAATAGCGGGCACAGCTAGTAATTTCATAATTTTATGATTTGGCACTTGATTACACATAGAACCCAAAAATTTCACCCTTCTACCGTTACCCTCTATTTTTTAATAGCAATATTAGTATTAATTGTTTCTACCCTCATCGGGCGGCAAAAGACGAGTAAAATAGTTTACCACCCAGAAATGTGCACGAGTTAGCTAGTACATAACTCAAAGGTGACTGACTGACATAGTGATCTATCAACGCACAGCCCCAACCACTGGACGGATCGGCCTGAAATTTGGCATGCAGGTAGATGTTATGACGTAGGCATCCGCTAAGAAAGGATTTTGATTAACTCTACCCCCAAGAGGATAAAGTAGGGGATGAAAGTTTGTATGAAACTTTGTCAATTTTAAACCGATCGGACTGAGACTTTGCATGCATAAAGCTACTATAACGTAGGCATCCCCTAATTAAGGATTTTGATAAATTCCACCCCTAAGAGTATAAAATAGGAGATGAAAGTTTGTATAAATCTTCTTAGATTTTGTAGGCCCTAATTTTTTTACACACGCTAAACAAAAGTAAAGCCGCAAGAACTACTAGCTAGAAAGGATTTCGATAAATTCCACCCCTAAGGGGATAAAATAGGGGATGATGCGGGATGTAAATGTATTAGTACCTAATGTCACGAATAAATTAAGACGAACAAAATAATTTTTAGTTCTCTAGGCTACTTTTATTTTAGACAAATAAAGCTAAATTCCACGCAGACGAAGTCGCGGGAACAGCTAGTCATAATATAAATTTTGAACCACATACCTAGTTATAAAAATTCTCGACGACCTCGCTGTTCAAAGTGATACTTTCAAGGCAAATATTGCATGACATAGCTATGGAAAAACCTATTAAAGTACATAAAATGGACCAGGGACGTCAGAAGGCATTAATAGCGGATCAGTAAATTTGTGATGAGCAATGATTACAGCATCCGAAGGGATCGATCGCTTCACTGATGACCTTTTTGCTTTTAGTACAGAACGGTGCGCAGGCGCAGCTGAAATATACGCAGCAAAGCTTAGTTACATAAGAGAGTGCGCCCCGAACGGACCACTCCACCGACAACCCTGTGTAGAATAAATAAATATTGAGCACTTATTTATTGTTTATTCTGTGATAAATGTTAATAAGAGAGTTGTGTATAAATTGAGAAATGCATATCGGTTAGTAATTTGTTTTATTATAATTTTATAATTATTTTTAATAACTATGACTATTCAAAAGTTCTTAAATTTTAATAAATATTTTTCTATTTTATTTATTTTCAGCATTTGTTTTTAGGAAAAAATGTTTATTTATTTATTTATTAAAGAAAAACCAAGGCTATTTAAATATATTTTAAATAAAATTAATATAAACGGCAATATAATAAATTTTATATATAAAACGTAAATCAATTTAATTGAAACATTTTTTTTAGATTTTATAATGTTTATTTTTAATGTAAAATATATTTTTATAATTATTTTTAATAAGTATAACTATTCAAAAGTGTTTAAATTTTATTTTATTTCAATAAATAATTGTCTATTCAATTTATTTTCGCAATGATTTTAAAAAAAATTATGAAATAAAAAATTTTTTTAGATTTTATAATATTTATTTTTAATATAAAATAATATAAACGTAGTTTAATGATGGAAATTTTTATATTTTTTTATTTGAATTTAATTTGATATACTGGCTAGTACACGCGACTACGTCTGCTTTAATAAACATACATTGTCTCTGTCAACCCTTATCAGATTAGATTTTTTATTTTTCATCTAGACCCAAGTTAAGCTAGCTAAAGCTTGTATTATGGGTACTAGACAACTGATACAAATCTATGTATTTGTTTTTTCAAATAAGACGATAGACTATTTATATGTCCGTGATAGAATCTATCTTTACATTAAATGTTATGTTAATAATCGTTACAGCCGTTTAGTTATGAATAGTTTTCAGACAGACAGATACACACATTCATTTCATTTCTCAATAACAATATTAGTATAATTGACGACATGACGACCTCAGTGGTCTAGTATATGGTCTAGCACACCGACGACGACCGATGATCGCGGGTTCGATTCCTCGCACCGCACAAACATTTGTATTCATAAGTATGATAGTTTGTATTGGTCTGGGTATCTTCTATGTATAATATGTATGTATTTACGAAAAAAAAATTATCTATGTATTTGTATCAGTTGTCTAGTACCCATAACACAAGCTTTAGCTAGCTTAACTTGGGTCTAGATGGCGCTGTGTGAATTTTCCTGAGATTATTATTAACTTCCAAAAAAAATCATCTCCCCTCTTAAGGAGAGGAGATGGCAACTTACCCCCGGCATAATAATTATTATTATTAATAATAATAAATTGTGGAATGTAGTGAATTACTAAATGTATACTTATAAATCTAATTGCATTTTATTATATTGTTTCACTAGGTATAGGCTCCTAGGTAAAAAATCAACGGAATTTATAAAATAAAACTAATAAAAATGGGATCAACCCCTTTGCAATACGACCCTGTCATGAAAACAAATTAAAATAACTGAACGTATGTCAATATATTTTCAAAATTTATTTAACATTGAAAAAGAAAATTAAATAGAATAGAAAATCATTTATTCAAATAAACTTAACTCAAACACTTTTGAATAGTCATCACATTTTATTTATCTACGCTCATTCGGAAATCTGTCTCATCACAAGAGGAACGAGCAAGAAACTTGTGTGTTGCTCTTTTAACTAATCCTTGTAAGTCCACATTTACAAGTCGAAACGTGTGAATACAAACTACCAACCAGCACTAATTTATTAGGGTTAAATATAAAAACACAATAGGATTAAATCAGTCGTAGTGATAAGAGCAAACCAGTCCCTACAAGCAGCACGTTCACGAGTATGACGGATGGGCCAGCCATCACTGCGCTCGACCATATTTTAGGGAGTCCGATGACCAATGGGAATAAATCTCCCCTCCAGAGGAACACATTATACAATTAAAACTTTGACCGTATCAAATCGCGGCTGAAGTACTACATAATATATTTATAATACAAAAAAAATATGATAATAAAAACAGTAGAGAAACAAATAAATTTAATAAAAAAAAAAATGGGAATAAATCTCATGTGACCTTGGATTTTTATTTACAACTGTTATAATGCTTTGATATACATAGATTTTAAAATGATAAATGAGTATAATATACGTAAATGCAAGCATATACATATTGTTATGAGTCCACAAAAGGCAGGTTGCCTCAGAAAATCCTTGAATAACTCTCTTGCGCAACCCCAGCCGCCGCCCGCCCACGCCCTACGCACGTGGCTAACGTTACATACGTATACCACATTATCCATTGCTGGTAACATATAGAAAAGTCTACATATAATAATAATAATAATCTCAGGACAATTAACACAGCGCCATCTAGACCCAAGTTAAGATAGCTAAAGCTTGTGTTATGAATACTACATAACTGATACATAAACATAGATTTTTTTTGTAAATACATACATATTATACATAGAAAACAACCAGACCAGATACAAACAATCATACTCATGAATACAAATGTTTGTGCGTGCGAGGAATCGAACCCGCGACCATCGGTCCGTAAAGCGGTGTGGTAGACCGCTCGACCACCGAGGTCGTCATAATATGTTCTACATAATACACGCAATGTATAATGCGACGTGTATTTTTCACGTGGGGAATAGTCACAACTATGCATTTTAGTACTTCTTCATTTAACTGCACCCATTTCGTAAACTGCTTTTAAGGAGTAATTACTATTTCTAAATATTACTCAATTAACAAAGAAATGTAGAATCAAAACATGTAGTATTGTAGAATAAAAAAACTTGACTATTCAAAAGTGCTTATATTAAGTTTATTTGAATAAAGATTATTTCTATTTCTATTTCTAATGGATGTATTTATAAAACATAAGGATATAATACAACATAACAATATTATTAATTAACTCCGGTCTATTACAGACTCTTATGATATGTCAAATCTACCGTCAGTTCGGAATGATTTCGAGATGAGAAGAACTGACAAGAAACTCAGCTCGTATTCTTTTCAAATAAATGTTGTACATGTTTACAATAATACAGAGTCATTTTTAAAATCAAATTTAGTAGAATAGAGTGACCACTAGCATATGCTATTGCAATGGCAAATATTTTTCTATTACGTTATTAATAAAAAATGACAAATAAAATTGGAGTGTCTGTTTGTAATATTGAAATAACCGTTTTTTACTACATGCATATGAATATAAATACGGTACTTACACCAAAACGACATTTTTTACTATTTTTGCCTGTCTGTCTGTTTGTTCCGGCTAATCTCTGAAATGACTGGACCGATTTTGAAGGTCTTTTATTGGCAGTTAGCTGATGTAATAAGGAGTAACTTAGGCAACTTTTATTTTAGAAAAATTAAGATAACTCCACGCGGACGAAGTCGCGGGAACAGCTTTTATATACATATATTTATCCAATTAAATATCAGAATATTTGTTTTTTTTTTTATTTAAATACATTTTACACAGACATATTCGTCCGTGCCTTTTTTAATTTACTTTAATATTATAATATTTATTTAATTTCCATACCAGAATATTTGAAATACATATAAATAGACATTACGGTTTATTTATATTTGTCTTTCCCTCGGTAACATGCAGTTGGAGCGCGTATTGTTTAGTATCTGTTACCGGCGTGACTCGTAATTATGATTGAAGGAATCATGTTGTGTATTGTTGATGTTAATGTGACGGCTGTCTGTACAATAACATGACTTCACTGAATCGATCACTAATCGATCTAGTGTAGTTAATTAACAATAATAAGACATAGCCACAGACTATATATATATACTAGCTTTTGCCCGCGGATTTGGTTGCGTTAATTTATCCCCTTAGGGGTGGAATTTATCAAAATCCTTTCTTAGGGGATGCCTACGTCGTAGTAGCTTTATGCATGCAAAGTCTCAGCCCGATCGGTTTAAAATTTACAAAGTTTCATACAAACTTTCATCCCCTATTTTATCCCCTTGGGGGTAGGATTAATCAAAATCCTTTCTTAGCGGTTGCCTACGTCATAACATCTACCTGCATGCCAAATTTCAGTCCGATCCGTCCAGTGGTTTAGGCTGTGCGTTGATAGATCACTATGTCAGCAGTCAGTCACCTTTGCGTTATATATATTTAGATATGAGACGATCTCGCTGGTCTCGCGGTTAAGTAAACCGCTTTACTTATGATGGTCACGGGTTCGATTCCTCACATGGTGCAATTATTTGTATTCATGAGTTGTTTGTATTGGGATGTTTTCTATGTATATTATGTATGTATTTACAAAAAATATATATATATTTATATCAGTTGTCTAGTACCCATAACACAAGCTCTGCTTACCGTGGGACTAGATGGCGCTGTGTTAATTGTCCAGGGTTGCAGTTGAAATAACCCAGTTGGCCTTAAAAATATAAATAAAAATATATGATCGAGCGCAGTGACGACTCATCCGTCATACTAGTGAACGTGCATGTCGGGACTGCTCTAATTATACGACTGGGCGTGATGTATTTTGTATGTTTGTTACAGACGGCGCGTGGTGGCTGGTGCTAGCATGCATATGCGCATGCTCTGCTGAGAAATGGCGGTTTCCAGAGGGTGCCGCGTCCGTCCGTATTGATACGAAGGTCCGATTCGTCGATGGTGATGACCGACCAGACAACAGCGACAAGTTTGTATCCAATAGCAATAGAAATATATATAAGATATATTCAAATAAAACTAATTTATACATCTATACATATACATATAAATAAAATTGAAGTGTCTGTTTGTAATATTGAAGTAACCGTTTTTTACTACATGCATATGAATTTAAATACGGTACGTACACCATAATAACATTATTTACAATTTTTGTCTGTCTGTCTGTTTGTTCCGGCTAATCTCTGAATTGGCTGGACAGATTTTGAAGGGACTTTTATTGGCAGGTAGCAGATGTAATAAGGAGTAACTTAGGCTACTTTAATTTGCAGTTTGTAGCAGTATTATGTCCAGAATGTGTGTACCCTTGAACATATAGTTCCCACAACCCTGGCGGATGGTAACAGTGCGATCTGCGAAGATTCAGCATTGTTCCACACTTGTAATATGTTCAATGTTACTTAATAACTTCATTGTTACTTATTACGTTTGACCCTCGCAAAGCCTAAGATATATTTATATATGCATATCCGGTCTGTAATCACCGCCAGTGCAGTAATATATGTTCACCTAGTTGCGCCCGCGATTTCACCCGTGTAATATTTATAGCCTACTATCTGTCCCGGCAAACGTTGTTTTGCCATATAAATTAATAACGCTAGAAAAAAGTAAATCTAACAGGGAGTATAGAGTCTTGTCTTTTCTCTTATTTATAATACTTATTTCATATGTAATGAAAACTGTGAAATTAGTAGTAGTGTAAGATTTATATAATTGTATATGCATATTGATAAATCTAATCTTCCAAATAAAGATGGGTGACACTGCATGTTGTCAACTCACCCGGCCGGCCAGCGGTGGTTCTGGGCCAGACGGATAAGGTCTGCCTCGGTGTCACTGTTAGGCAAATTGTAACATCTCGGCTGGAGTTGTACAAAAATGGAAATTAAATAAATATTATAATATTAAAGTAAATTAAAAAAGGCACGGACGAATATGTCTGTGGAAAAATGTATTTAAATATAAAAAAAAAAAAATACTTATTTCACAATAATTAGTTTAGAGTTTTGTCATTTCTAATTCTAATTTGACTATAATTAATTTGATAATATTTTTGTAAACTGTTTCAGTTGTGATCTCATTTTAGTATCAGTCAATATTTCAGTGGTTTCGCCATATAAATTAATAACGCTAAAACAAAATAGGGTTTGGTGATAGAAGGGTGAAAATTTAGGGTTATATGTATTTTTTAATGATACATAATAAAAAATTATAAATAATTTTTTTTTACTACAAATGAATTTAAATGCGGTACGTACACCAAAATAACATTTTTTTTACAATTTTTGTCTGTCTGTCTGTTTGTTCCGGCTAATCTCTGAAATGGCTGCACCGATTTTGACGGGACTTTTATTGGCAAGTATTGATGTAATAAGGAGTAACTTAGGCTACTTTTATTTTAGAAAAATATAGTAAGTTTCACATGGACGAAGCCGCGACTTCGCGGCACAATACAGCTAGTAAATAATAAACACAGAGTTTCAATTTATACGGCAGGAAATCTCTAAATACCACATTGCAACACTTGTGTTTAGGGCTTTTCCCACGTGAATGTCAAATTAAATTATCTGACATTATCATTGATGGGTATCTTAACGGCCTTGATGGTTTAGTGGGTTACCACACCGCTTTCAATGGTCGCGCGTTCGATTCCTCGCATGGTGCAAACATTTGTATTCATGAGTATCTGGGTGTTTTCTATGTATGTACTTACAAAAAATATATATCTATGTATATGTATCTAGTACCCATAACACTAGCTTTAGCTAGCTTAACTTGGGTCTAGATGGCGCTGTGTGAATTGTCCTGAGACTATTATATTTACAAAAAAAGTATTTTTATCAGTAGTCTAGTACCCATAACACAAGCTCTGCTAAGCTTGGGTCTAAGCATTGTGTGAATTGTCCAGAGATAGAATAGAATAGAATAGAATAGAAAATCATTTATTCAAATAAACTTACATTGAAGCACTTTTGATGAACATATAGGATATTTGAATATACAAATTGAGAAGCAACGGTGAGAATATTTGCCTCTTTGAATTTCTCTCTTAATGAGTCACAACTCTTCATACAGTAGATTGCTCGAAGGGCACGTTTTTGTAATATGAATATATTTTAAATATCTGCCTCTTTTCCTCATAATAATCTAAATATATATAACTCAACGGACTGACATAGTGATCTATCAACGCACAGCCCAAACCACTGGACGAATCGGGCTGAAATTTGGCATGCAGGTAGATGTTATGACGTAGGCATCCGCTAAGAAACGATTAATTCTACCCCCAAGGGGATTAAATAGGGGTTGAAAGTTATATGAAACTTTGTCAATTTGAAACCGATCGGGCTGAGACTTTGCATGCATAAAGCTACTATGACGTAGGCACCCCCTAAGAAAGGATTTTGAAAATACCACCCCTAAGGGGATAAATTCATGCGAGCAACGCCACGGGCAAAAGCTAGTATAAGAGAGTAAACTATGAAAATAACTAAAATAGACTAATCTAGCAGTATCAGTATCAGTGTACTAACGTTACGTACGAGTAAAACCGCGTTTCATAGGTAGTTGTGTATAATTAGTGATAATTACTCGGTACATCTGTTGGGTTAGTTCCACAAGATGATCTGCGCCTTGGCCGACATATCGTCCTCTTGTTCCGATCACAATGGGAGCAATTATCCCATAGCATTGCCTCGTGCCGTGGTCTCCACTGACACCATAATACTTCTTGCGTCACTTTCCCACTACAATTACAGCGGCTTGCGGCATTTTGTAGCCGCTTATAGGTATAAGTTGATTTACGCTATCATGAGATTTAAGTCATTTGCATAAAATGATTAATGTTGCGGGTGAGTGATACTATGTTGTTGGTCGAGACGATGTATATTACAGATGATGATAAACTGACAATATGTACATAGAAATAATGATCTTATATACTAAATAACAATAGGAAAATGTAAGGTGGGGTGACACAGTTTAGATACAGCAGTGCCTAGTAGACAATATTGAATTTGTCTTACTAGACATTATTAAATGCAATTATTATTTTGATGTATCTAGGTGACTGTGTCCCATAATTAATATAAATGTTTTGCGTTTATAATTGGTATTAATTAGTTGATCTTTGTATTATATTTATAACAAGCTTGTGCGCGCGGCTTCGCTCGCGTTAATTTATCCCCTTAGGAGTGGAATTTATCAAAATCCTTTCTTAGGGGATGCCTACGTCATAGTAGATTTATGCATGCAAAGTCTCAGCCCGATCGGTTTAAAATTGACAAACTTTCATCCCCTATTTTATCCCCTTAGGGGTTTTATTAATCCCTTTGTAATCCTTTCTTAGCGGATGCCTACGTCATAACATCTACCTGCATGCCAAATTTCAGCCCGATCCGTCCAGTGGTTTGGGCTGTGCATCGATAGATCAGTCACCTTTGAGTTATATATATTTAAACTAGCGATGTACCGATTTAAAACAAATCGGACCTGGCAACACTATTCAAAACCGAATTCCTTTATACGACCCATTCCTTCACACAGTCCAGCCGTTTCCGAGATTAGCAAAATCAAACTGACAGTTAAAAATTATCACAGTTACTTTTGATACTACTACCACAGATAACATAATCAACTACTATTATATTATATATTTTTTTCTAAATTTGTTAAGTATATAGTTAATTACATTCCTGCACTTCTATTCTTAAGTTTATTGAATAAATTAGTTTCTATTCTATTCTATTCTATAGATCCTTTACCGACACAAACGATTTCTGCAATTATTTGGTTATAAATCTCAATCTACGGGATGCACTTGTTATGCAAATTAAATTTCTCAATAATTACAAAATACGGACTTACATAATTATACATGTAATTAATTGTTTCCTATTGAATATTTTTAGATTAAATACACAATTATAGCCACTTAATGTATTTATAAAACATCTGTTAAATCATATTTACTGAGCAAAGAATGAGTGAGTATTATACTCACTAAACGATAACTTGAATGACAAACGTGCATTGCAATAGTTGTTCATGCACTGGATTTTCATTTAATGTTAGACATAGACACCTATATAAATATACATTGTGAATAAACTGAGTTTCTTGCCAGTTCTTCTCAATTGGATCTATATACTGAACGGAACGGTTGAGAAAAAATTGTAATTAAAAAAAAAATACGTTCATAAGTGGCTAAAATGTCCTACATGAATAAATGATTTTTGAAATTAATTTTTTACCGCTATTATTTCTTAACGAGTGTTCTTTTGGTACAAGCAGCAGCTGGAAAGGAGGAGAGGAAATGATGAGTCCAGTCAACAAATAGTCACATTACATCTTTATTATAAGGGATGTTACGTAGCTCCGTAACCGTAACCGAAACTATCGGATATCCGATATAAATATGAGATAATATAAATTTTGCCTATTTATATTATCTCATATATAAAATTTTCGTGTTACAATGTTAGTTACCATACTCCTCTGAAACGACTTGACCGATTTTTATGAAATTTTATATGCATATTCAGTAGGTCTGAGAATCGGCTACTGTCTATTTTTCATTACCCCTCAATGTTAACCACTCCTAACATTATTTTTTTTTTTTTTTTTGGGCAAATCGGCTACTGCCTATTTTTCATACCCCTGAAAATTTTTTTTAATATTATTTTTTTTTTTTTATTTATATTTTTTATTGTGTGTCATTAAAAAATACATACAACCCTAAATTTTCACCCTTCTATCACCAACCCCTATTTTTTATAGCGTTATTAATATATATGGCAAAACAACGTTTGCCGGGACAGCTAGTATAATAATATAATTATAACAAGTATAATACTGAGTCCTGGTTTTAAACTAAATTGTCCTGGTTTTTCCAATTTCAAATCCTAGTTTTTTATGTGGTATTGACAACCCTAGTCTATACCTATATTGCGACACGTGTCTCGCTTCTGAACGAGGCATCATCAGGCATTGAATAGAGTTCAGTTTCGCAGGTTAACTTGTAACGTTAAGGAAACTAGTATTTCGTCAAATTACAATGTAACAACGTGCAATGTTACAAAAGCATTACCAATAATAATAGTAACAATGTTAATACCGATGCTGTGCAACGAATCAGATATTGTGAAGGGAGCATTGTGTTTATTGCTATTTAATTGCTTTACAGGCCTCTGTGCAATATTCTAATCTATAGAAATAAAGATTAATAAACATTAAAAAATATATCGTAAGATATTTGTAGTTTGAAAAAGTCTAATTTTGGCGCGAAAATAAAAAAAAACATCGTCGCTATACTTCTATTTGCCGGGAAAAGGTCCTAATACATATTGTTAACTAGCAGTACACGCGACTTCGTCCGCGTGAAATATAACTTTATTTTTCTAAAATAAAAGTAGCCTAAGTTACTCCTTATTACATCAGCTACCTGCCAATAAAAGTCCCGTCAAAATCGGTCCAGCCATTTCAGAGATTAGCCGGAACAAACAGACAGACAAAAATTGTAAAAAATGTTATTTTGGTGTATGTACCGTATTTATATTCACATGCATGTAGTAAAAACGGTTATTTCAATATTACAAACAGACACTCAAATTTTATTTATATGTATAGGCTTAGACAAAACTTTATTATTACTTATTAAGTCGGCTTAAACGTATCACTTTAGTACTTAATTTGATTAAACTTGCAAGTGAATCTACAAGTGGCGATACAGTTTACGAAATGTTCAATAGTCTAACATTGCTACACGCCGCCGGCTCGGTTCACTTTCACTATCGTCTGTTACAATACATTTTAATTCAGTTATTATCATCGAGAATTAAGTCATTCGACAAATTTATGCAACAAAATAGTAGCTTGATAAGGAGCAACAATATCTATAAATTAACTAACTACTTTATCTGACATGCCCCGAGATCTTCCGTATTTTTTGAATATTTTTATTATATGAAAAGGGCTGATATGTGAAAATTTAAATGTTAAAAAGCAAGGGCCAACATTCGCTTCTAGTAATGTTTTTGCTAATTAAGATGATATGTCCGGAAGAGAAGATGATTGAATAAATTGATCAATGTAATGATTGAATAAAGAAATAATCAAGGCTGGATTCAGCTTTGGCGCCAGGAGGGCGTCACATAGTCGTGGTCAAGTCAAGAACTTATAATTTAATTTTGATAACAATAGATACAATTAAAAAGTAGGTATTTTTATTAATGTACCTAAGTACTGTACTATAAAATATGTATTCTTTATTGTACAGTAGAAAAACTTAACACTTTTTTTTGAGTTCTTCAGTACCCACAAGACTTTGCTTAGCTTGGCACTAGGTGGCGCTGTGTGAAAAGTCCTGGGTAATTATTATTACTATAGAGATTTTATACGATTTTTCGTCCGTCATATTCGTGAACGGGTGCTGCTTGTGGGGACTGGTCTGTTTGGGTTACGAACACTGATTAGATTTTTTGTTTTTTTGCAATAGCATATGCTGGTGGTCACTCTATTCTCTCAAATTTGAATTTTAATGACTGTGTATTATTGTAAACATTTTTTTGAAAAGAATACGAATTGAGTTTCTTGTCAGTTCTTCTCATCTCGAAATCATTCCGAACTGTCGGTAGATTTGACATATCATAACAGTCTGTAATAGACCTACATGAATAAAGATATTTTGAATTTTTTTTTATTTTTTCTTTCTAGAATGAACACTAGCGAAAATCAAGTGCAAGCTGATGAAATACCATTCGAGCCGGCATCGAACACGGTCGGTTTCTACAACCGCCCGGTCAATGGGGACATATCCGGACGGTATCCAGTGCGAGTGGAGCCTAACCGGGCGTCGGCGCCCTACAGCATTGAAGGGCAGACCCATTACTCCATCACCAAGAAGTGAGTACAACTGGTTATAATAATAATAATAATAATCTCAGGACAATTCACACAGCGCCATCTAGACCCAAATTAAGCTACCTAAAGCTTGTGTTATGGGTACTAGATAACTGATACATATATATAGATTTTTTTTTTTTTCGTTAATACATATATAATATAAAATACCCAGACCGATACAAACAATCATACTCGTGAATACAAATGTTTGTGCCGTGCGAGGAATCGAACCCGCGACCATTGGACGTAAAGCGGTGTGCTGAACCGCTATACCACCGAGGTCGTCAAAAGTTATGGAACTATACTGTCAATAATGTTTTTTTTTCTACGAATTAGAATATTAACTATATAAATTGACGGCCTTGATGGTATAGCGGTTAGTACACTTTGCTTCCGATGGTCGCGGGTTCGATTCCTCGCCCGGTATAAATATGTGTATACATAAATATGATTATTTGTATTGGTCTGGGCGTTTTGTTTTATTTATAAAAAAAAGTATTTATGTATTTATATCAGTTGTTTAGCACTCATAATACAAGCTCAGCTTAGCTTGGGACTAGATGGCGCTGTGATAATTATCCAAGGCTATTATATTATCCTATATATAAAATTCTCGTGTCACAAACACCATACTCCTCCGAAACGGCTTGACCGATTTTTATAAAATTTTATATGCATATTCAGTACGTTTGAGAATCGGCTACTATATATTTTTTATACTCCTAAGTGATAAGGGTTGTCCATCCCTAACCTTTTATTGGACTATTTAACTTGTCAATTTTTTTTATAATGTAGCTAAGGACACATTCAACCCTAAATTTTCACCCTTATTATTTTTTTTATTTTATTGGGTTGTTTGGGCTATTGTAGATGTGTAAAACGACGTTTGCGACCTACATAGATCTATTTATTTATTTTATTTATTAAGACCGTCAGGGACATAATTGAAGGATATTCTTAGGAGCGATCGTTTTTATCTCCTCGGCATTATGTAAACTTTCCAAAGGAGATATTTCGTTTATGCATGAGTGGAAAATAAAAAAATATATGTAAGCGGCGTTACACTAAAAATATATATGGCAGAATCTGCAGATATATATATACATATTTAATATGCTTGTTCAATTTGCAATGTCCTGTGAGGGCCCTAGTCATCATGCATATTCACCCTTATACCACCAAATATATATATTTTAACAGCGATTTTAATTTATATGAAAAAACATTATTATTTATTTGCCATATTATATATTTAATATATTTAGTATACACATAAAATGATATTGTAATACTTATACTTAAATTTCACCCTTCTATCACCAACCCCTATTCATTAATAACGATTTTAATTATAAATTAGTCAGCTAGTAATGTTACAAACTAACTATACCCGCGATTTCATTCGCGTGATTATCAAAAACACTATCTGCATTTCAACATTTTTCACTCATGCTTCGCTTTCATAGCGTAATGTTATATAGCTTAAAGCCTTCCTCGACAAATGGACTATCCAACAGAAAAAGAATTTTTCAACTCCAACCAGTAGTTCTTGAGATTAGCGCGTTCGAACGAACAAGCTCTTCAGATTTCTAATATCTAAATATATATAACTCAAAGGTGACTGACGTAGTGATCTATCAACGCACAGCCCAAACCACTGGACGGTTCGGGCTGAAATTTGGCATGCAGGCAGATGTTATGACGTAGGCATCCGCTTAGAAAGGATTTTGATTAATTCTACCCCTCAAGGAATAAAATAGGGGATGAAAGTTTGTATGAAACTTTGTCAATTTTAAACCGATCGCGCTGAGACTTTGCATGCATAAAGCTACTATGACGTGGGCATCCCCTAAGAAAGGATTTTAATATATTCCACCCCTAAGGGGATGAAAGTCTGTATAAATCTTCATAGATTTTTAAACTGAACTGAAATTAAAGATTGGAGCTACTATGATGAAGACGTTCGCTTAAATAGGATTTTGATAAATTCAACCCCCATGGGGATGAAATAAGGGATGATGCAGGACGTAAATGTATTAGTTTGAACCTATCAGTACCTAATGGAACGAATAAATTAAGACGAACAAAATAATTTTTAATTCTTTAGGCTACTTTTATTTTAAAAAAATAACGTTAAATTCCACGCGGACGAAGTCGCGGGAACAGCTAGTAATATATAAATACGTGCTGTAAATGTTTCAGCCCACAGCAATACTACTCGGATGGTACGCTGGACTCAATGCAACACTGCAAGTGTGTCTCCACGCCTCACTGCCGCCCCTCCTCAGACTCACTCGTAAGTCAATCAGTATAATATATTCCACTGTGTCAATGCCGTATCTACACATATATAAATATACATTTTATATAGTTGGGCATTAAGAAAACATGAAATTCAATTGAGTTTCTTGCCAATTCTTATCCATTGGATCTGTATACCGAACTGGACGGTAGGAAAAATAAATATAAAAAAATTAACGTTCATAAGAGGCTAAAACTGTAATCCATGAATAAATGTATTTTTCGTTTTACAATAAGGGACCCAAGTAAATTCCCGCAGGTCGAACCAACTTACATAAAACTTCCATGTCAGTTCCATACAAATCCTTACTCCTTACTAATATTATAACTGCTAAAGTAACTCTGTCTGTCTGTCTCGCTTTCACACCAATACTACTGCACCGATTTAAATAAAATTTAGTATACAGATAGTCCAGACCCTGAGAACGGACATAGGCTACTTTTTAATGCGAAGAAAGGGTTGTAAGGGGTTGATAGGGAAGATGAAACGTTTTATAGAAGTATAGTCATTTTTAAAGCTAGAAACTTGAAACTTATTTTTTAAGATTTTGACTATCATTATGACATTTAAAGTTTGTACGAATTTTACCCTTAAGGGGGTAAAATAAAATAGGGGATGAAATGGAAATTCCTCATTCCTTGCGAACGAAGTCGGCGGCGCCGGCGAAGGCGGACACAGCTAGTATTCAATAAAATAGCACAGGTTAATTATAGAAATGCCATTAAATAGGTTCAAAATAGAACTACACAAATTCTCGTAAAATAATACGCTTACTCTTTGCGAGAATGGACGTAACATTTAATATTCTCATTAGTGTTTTGGAAATCATTGATAAAAATAGAAATTCTCTTTTTTTTCGGACTACTCTAATGCTGTTGGCCGCAGCTGGCCTTTACAGCTTCACCGGACGATAGGGGGCGAGTGCAGATGGCACTCCAAACCAAAGGACTTATGGAGCGGCTGAAGGCCAACTCCCGCGTGACAGATACGACTTCAGTCTGAGGATACCGCTAGGGGTTCGAACCTCGGCTCAGGCCGTCGTAACATCGATCCCCGTTTGATTTGGACGGGGGATCGATCGCAGGGAAAATTCTCATGTCTCCTGATTGTTAGGTGAACTTTTGTACCCTATTTTATTGTAAGACTTACACTGTAAAGAAAAGAATATTCAAGCAAATAATTATCTATCTACCTAAAACTCAGGACCAATCAAAATTAAAAAATATATATATTCATGTAGGACATTTTAGCCGCTTATGAACGTCAAGTTTTTACATTTTAATATTTTTTCCCCTACCGTCCAGTTCGGTATATAGATCCAATTGAGAAGAATTGGCAAGAAACTCAATTGAATTACTTTTTTTTTAAAAGCCAGTTTATTTACAATGTATAGGTATTTATATAGGTGTCTATGTCTAACATTAAATGAAAATCCCGTGCATGAACAACTATTGCCATGCACGCTCGTCATTCAAGTAATCGTAGTAGTGAGTAATAGACGGTAGATTTAACATAATATCATAAGAGTAATAATAGTATAGACCTACATGAATAAAGATATTTTGAATTTCAATTTGAATTTATTGATATTTATTTGCAGAAAGCGTGCGGCGTTGGAAAATATCTGTGCTGCTATAAACGATCCAATAAAAACTATCAACAGAATTCAGGTATAAAAACATTTGTTATATTATTAATAATATACATACACATAAATTAAATTGGAGTATCTGTTTGTAATATTGAAATAACCGTTGTTTAATACGAGCATATGAATATGAATACGGTACATACACCAAAATAACATTTTTTACAATTTTTGTCTGTCTGTCTGTTTGTTCCGGCTCATCTCTGTAAGGGCTGGACAGATTTTGACGGGACTTTTATTGGCAAGTAGCTGATGTAATAAGGAATAATTTAGGCCACTTTTATTTTATAAAATTCTTTTATTTCAGAAAATAAAGTTAAGTCCCACGTGGACGAAGTCGCGGGTACAGCTAGTTTCTTATAAATTTACTAGCTACTCGCCCCGGCTTTGCACGGATGTACATGTATTATATACATAAACCTTCCTCTTGAATCACTCTATCTAATAAAAAAACAGCTTCAAAATCCGTTGCATAGTTTTAAAGATTTAAGCATACATAGGGACGGACAGACAGCAACAGCGACTTTATTTATACTATGTAATGATATATTAATATTTAATTGTAGAATACTTCAACGAAGTAGAAGATGAACGTCCAGTGCTGCTGCCCGGACAAAATGATTTGGCTGGACCATTCCCTCCATCACCAGGCACATATTTCAACGGAATCTTCGGTGCTGAACAGGACCGCAATCCCTCAGGAATTGGGAACGACAGGCCGCGAGCACCGGCTGTACTCGTAGGTCCGGGCGGACCCACTGGCAACATTGGTCCTCCCAGACTCCCTGTAGGCAACGCTAACTCGCAGAATCCCCAAATTCCACCTGTCCTGGTCGGCCCTGATGGTCCAAGTGGCATAATAGGGCCCGGGCCAATACCGAATCGAAATCCTGACGAAAATCGTGATGTAGGTAATAGTGAGTCAGCCCAGCGAGGTATCCTAGTTGGGCCTGGTGGTCCTACAGGGATAATAGGACCGGCTGGCTTCAATAGACGTCCAGGTGGTTTTATGAATAACTACTTCTATGGCGGCGGTCGAGGGAGTGGACCTGGAGTCCTCGTCGGGCCTGGCGGTCCTACAGGCATCATTGGTCCCGGCAGAGGGATTCTCGTGGGTCCTGGAGGCCCCACCGGTCAAATAGGACCGAGACGGCCATTCTACTACGGTAAATAGTGTTCTCTGTCCATTATTGCAGGACTAATATTGGTAATAATTTGTGTGTAACGATAGATTAGTTGTGTTTATGTTAACAGTGCTAAGTGATCGTTGTAGTGAAAGTTTAATGTAAATATTTTGGTAATAAACTGTTCTAACTAGCTGTTAAATCCGTCGTCGCTTGATGTAATAACATACTCGTAAGTATATATATTGAATTGATTGTGCATTAAACATACTATGTACATATACAATATAGTGAGTCGACCTTTCGCAGGATGTCCACGACGATATAGTAAGTCGACATCCACTACCGCATCTAGTTCAGACAGTGATAGAAATAGAAAGAATAAGAAGCATATGTTGTAAATAAACATACCAATTGAAGTTTTCGTTTGTTTTAATATTTTCCACTAAACTGCAAAAATAAACTTGCCATTGGTTATCTAAATATATATAACTCAAAGGTGACTGACATAGTGATCTATCAACGCACAGCCCAAACCACTGGACGGATCGGACTGAAATTTGGCATGCAGGTAGATGTTATGACGTAGGCATCCGCTAAGAAAGGATTTTGATTAATCCTACCCCCAAGGGGATAAAATAGGGGATGAAATTTTGTATGAAACTTTGAATTGACAATTTTAAACCAATCGGGCTGAGACTTTGCATGCATAAAGCTACTGTGACGTAGGCATCCCCTAAGACAGGATTTTGATAAATTCCACCCCTAAGGAGATAAATTAACGCGAGCGAAGCCGCGGGCAAAAGCTAGTATATTTATAAATGGGGTTGAGAAATGCGGCAGTTTGTTACTACTGTGTCAGTAGTTTAGCACACCGCTTTACGTCCGATGATTGGCGGGTTCGATTCCTCGCACGGCACAAACATTTGTATTCATGAGTATGGTTGTTTGTGTCGGTCTGGGTGTTTTCTATATATAATATATGTATGTATTTACGAAAAAAACATCCAAGTATTTATAATACTTGTCTAGTACCCATAATACCTTTATTCAAATAAACTCATTACAAGCTGTTGAATAGTCATTTTTTGATTCTACCACTCATTCGGAATGTAGATTCATCACAAGAAGAATTAGCAAGAAACTTGTGTGTTGCTCTTTTTAATAGATGCTTTTTTTTATATAAATAATTACAGTATAACAAGTAAGATGCATGCGATAATCAACATAGAAGTCGCTACGCACTCATTATTAATGTAATCAGATAATATTGTCAGTGCTATGGATTTAAAGTTTTTCTATAAAAACATTATTATCGTTAACGAATTCTTCAATTTTATAGTAAGCTTTTTTGCAAAGGAACTGTTTTATTTGACATTTAAATCTTTTTTCTGGCAGATTTATAACAGACTCTGGTATTTTATTGTAAAACCTTACGCAATTGCCATAAAACGAATTACTAACTTTAGTCAAACGACATTTAGGTAAAATCACTTTGTTATTGTTACGTAAACTTTTATTAGTGCAATCACTAACTCTTTTGAAACTGTCTATATTCTTCCTGGCATAGATGATATTTTCATAAATGTATTGAGAAGCAAACAAGCTTTAGCTAGCTTAACTTGGGTCTAGATGGCGCTGTGTGTATTGTCTTGAGATTATTATTATTATTATTTACGTTTATCTTATATAATAATTCATATGCTGCTGCCAGCATCGATATTATTATGTTGTGATCTGTGATGTAATAAATGTTATTATATTCTAAAGGATTCTCTAAGCATTGATCATAACTTATTGAGTACATTACAATATAGTTTTCCAAAATAAATGTACTTAGGTCCTGAAACCTCTGCGAAATATCTTTGTATATAAAAATTACGTGTCGCGTTGTTTATCCGCGATGGACTCCTAAACTACTGAACCGATTGCAAAATTGATTTGCACATTGTGTGCAATTTGATCCGACTTAAAAGATAAGATAGCTTACATCTCGTATCATAACTTATAGTCGCAATATTATTTTATTGAAGAATCTCAGCCACAGACCTACTGAATATGCATTGAAAACCTCATGAAAATCGATCGAGTCGTTTCAGAGAAGTATGTCAACTAATATTTTGACACAAAAATTTTATATAGTGCATATATTTTATCCTTACACATTAACATGCAAGAATAAAATATATTACTATCTCATTTAACTCGAGTTATTGTCATTGGCTCAGTGCCAGGCATGCGCTATTCTTCATTTTTTGTAGTGGATTCGTTTCTTTGCAATGTTTTATTTTTACAAATATCTGGCAGATTTACGGCGCTGAAAGAGCTTTATGGACCTAATAATAAGTTCTTGGTATTTTGATATTTAGATAAATCTTACGATGGATAATGTCAGGTACAAGAATCTCAGGTAGCAATTATTCAACCTGCACAATAAGCAACTTTTTTTCCTTTCCTGATCCAAGTGATGGAAGATGGCAACCTTCAATTATGTGTATTTATTATGACTTTGAAAGAAAGAAAGAAAGAAAAATATTTTATTCAGTGCAATGTACTTTGCAAGTTTCTTGTCACTTCTTAATTTATATTTCATGTGTACTTATAGGCCCATGTTAATTGAAAATCTGAGTCCAACGATATAATAATAGATCCAATACTTAGGTGCGTTTTTAAAACGTAATAAAGGTATCCAAGTAATCAGGCGTTTCATTTGATTGAATCGATCCAATCGACTGTAAATTCACTAATGTGAAATGTTTACCGAAGAATCATATAATCTAAATATATATAACTCAAAGGTGACTGACATAGTGATCTATCAACGCACAACCCAAACCACTGGACGGATCGGGCTGAAATTTGTCATGCAGGCAGATGTTATGACGTAGGCTAAGAAAGGATTTTGATTAATTCTACCTTTGTCAATTTTTAAACCGATCGGGCTGCGACTTTGCATGCATAAAGTTACTATGACGTAGGCATCCCCTAAGAAAGGATTTTAATAAATTCCACCCCTAAGGAGATAAAATAGGGGATGAAAGTTTGTATAAATCTTCTTAGATTTTCGACTGATTGAACTGAAATTAAAGATACTATGATGAAGACGTTCGCTTAAATAGGATTTTGATAAATTCAACCCCCATGGGGATAAAATAAGGGATGATGCAGGATGTAAATGTATTAGTTTGAACCTATCAGTACCTAATGGAACGGATGAATTAAGACGAATAAAAATAATTTTTAATTCTTTAGGCTACTTTTATTTTAGAAAAATAAAGTTAAATTCCACGCAGACGAAGTTGCGAGAACAGCTAGTTATCAATAAACTTACAAATAAATTGTAGTTAATAGGTAATTGAAATAAGTCTGCTTTTAGAAAAGTTAATATCCAACCATTAGGATAGGATAATTTCCTAAAAAAAGGTCCCATTATAGGCATATAACCAATGCAATATAATTATAGCAATTCTGTTCACTGACCTATAGTGGTGATGACGATGATGGAGTAGAACAGCGCTCCGGTGAAGGTCCACTGGATGTGGTCGGTGCTCTCGTTGCCGTCCCACCCGCGGACTTTCATCTCCAACAGGATCGCATTCTCGAAGTCCTGACAATACCATAATTTATTGTTAAACTTATTATTATTTACATATTTTTTCAAATATTCAAAACCAACTGTTCTCCTTTAGACACATTATATAAACGAGATATTTGCCATTGTTTAAGCTAATATAGTTAAGTGCATAGAATAGAATAGAATAGAATAGAAAATCATTTATTCAAATAAACTTAATTTAAGCACTTTTAAATACAACAATTTATTTTTTATCTACCACTCGTTCGGAAAGCTGTCTCATCACAAGAAGAACGAGCAAGAAACTTGTGTGTTGCTCTTTTAAATAATCCTGTGAGTTTACATTTATTTACAAGTCGAAACGTGTGAATAACAGCGTCGAAATATTGGGAGCACTTTAACAATACCATCCTGATAGATAAATGTAAACAACTATTAAAAAGGTATAAAAATCAACTCTTCTTCTCCAGTTTTGAATTTAAATGAATCTGTGATATTGTAAACATGTACAACATTTATTTGAAAAGAATACGAGCTGAGTTTCTTGTCAGTTCTTCTCATCTCGAAATCATTCCGTACTGACGGTAGATTTAACATATAATAAGTATCTATAATAGACCTACATGAATAAAGATATTTTGAATTTGAGTTCTTTTACAAGTTGTACTGTTGCTGGTGCTTCAAAAATACACTTTTACATCACATGAAATAAATCACTATTTAATCCTTTAAAAAAGTGTAAAGAGATCGCAATTACTATATAATATATACATAGATCCAACGCCATCTAGACCCAAGTTAAGCCAGCTAAAGCTTGTGTTATGAGTACTAGATAACTGATACAAATACATAGATAGTTTTTCGTAAATACATACATAATATACATAGGAAACACCCAGACCGACACAAACAATCATACTCATGAATACAAATGTTTGTGCCGTGCGAGGAATCGAACTAGCAACCATCGGACGTAAAGCGGTGTGCTAGACCACTAGACCACCCAGAATTACTACAATTATGTTATTAATATGTACACAAGCACATTTTTTTTCGAACCATCCTATTGCTATTTTCCGCAGCCTACCTTTACAGCTTCACCGGACGATAGGGGGCGAGTACAGATGGCACTCCAAACCAAAGGAAGGACTTATGGAGCGGCTGAGGGCCAACTCTCGCCTGACGGAAACGACTTTAGTCTGAGAGCACCGTTGGGGGCTCGAACCACGGCTCAGGCCTTTGTAATTTTGAACACCGTTTGAATTGGACGGGGGATTGTTCGAAGTATATACAATTAGTTTTCTTTTCGGACTACTCTTATGCCGTTGGCCGCAGCTGGCCTTTACAACTTCAACGGACGATAGGGGGCGTGCAGATGGCAGTCCAAACCCGCGGAACTCCCGCCTAACGCATACGACTTTAGTTGGAGGTTCGAGCCACGGCTCAGGCCTTTGTAATTTTGATCACAGTTTAGATTGGATTTACTTTAGTCTGAAGGCACCGCTAGAGGTTCGAACTACGGCTCGGACCGTCCTAATTCATATCCCAGTTAGATTGGATAATGGATCGATCGGAGGATATATAATTAGTTTTTTTTTCGGACTACTCTAATGCTGTAGCCGCAGCTGGCCTTTACAGCTTCACCGGACGTTAGGGAGCGAGTACAGATGGCACTCCAAACCAAGGAAGGACTTATGGAGCGGCTGAAGGCCAACTCCCGCCTGACGGATACGACTTTAGTTTGAGGGCACCGCTAGGGGTTCGAACCTCGGCTCAGGCCGTCGTAATTTCGATCCCCGTTTGAATTGGACGGGGGGTTGATCGGAGGAGCGCCCCGGGGCGCCGGTGTGGAGCGCACGGGCGCGCGCAGGCACCCGGTTGAATGCGCGATATTGGTATATAACTACCAAATTGCTGCAGCTTATAAGTTACTGAAAAACGAAAACATAGCGCGTTGTAACAATTAAACAACGCCATCTAGTGACAAAAAATAAAACCAAATTTATAAAAGACGATTAAAAACAAGTTCTGTATTTAAAACATTGTGCGGGTCACCCTGGTTGGTGTTACCTTTAGCATGTCCACCACGTCGGAGGTCCAGTTGGTCTGGTTGAGGAGGGGCACATTGCGCGTCATCACCCATATGCTCTGCGTGGTGTTGCTACGAATCTGGGATATGTTCATCTTCACCTGAATCAGTTACATTAGTTCGTTAACATATCATTACGTACACCATCGAAAGATGTAAAACATACAACTATAGAATCCATACGTTTATATATCGTTTAGAAATACGATTTTTTCTCTTACTAGTTCCTAGTTTTACTAGGGTCTTGGGTAATTCTAAAAAAAAAGTCGAAATTCGTGTCCTTTGAGTTTTATTAAAAATCTAAGAAACATGCATCGGTTACCAATTTCCTGACAATCTACACATTTTATTTGAATAAAGATTATTTCTATTTCTATCTACACATCAGTACTATGATATCCATAAATATAAATGCAAATTAAATTCAATATTATTTAACAGTTTTTTTATTTCCGGATTTCGGAATTTCATGAAAATTACCCACCTACTTACAACTAAAAAAACCCACTATGTTATGAATTGTGGAATAATAACAATTTTATTTTATCTATTTTCCTATATTTGTTATACTCAATTTGTTCTGATTTGGATTAGTTAGTAAATTTATCAGTAAAGCCTTAAAGGTTTCATATCCTCGACCCCTCTACAGACGAACGTACTTAGAAAAATATCTACGATAACTAATTACACGATGATATTATATCCAATAGACAAGGCAAATATCAAAATTTCGCACTAGAATCATTTTCTTAAAATTTTCCGTCCTTTTTTGGACGAAATCGTGAAAACATCTTATTATTCTTTATTGTACACACACAGGAAAAAAAAATAGCAGTAATAAAATAAAAGTAATGTACAAGGGCGATTATCTCCATAAAAGAGACATATATTTTATTAATTCGTCATTAAACAATACAAGACAGTATAAAAAGAAAAAAAAGGGAAAGGAAGACATTAAAATTATATAAATACTAATACAAAACATACTTGTGTTTTTACGATTTTCGTCCATAAAAGGACATATATTTTATTGATTCGTAAAACAATATAAGACAGTATAAAAATAAGAAAAAATACGCAAGTAATTGGAAGTTATAATGAATTTTCAAAGTAGGTAAAAATTTATTTATCTATACATATAAATGACATTGGAGTGTCTGTTTGTAATATTGAAATAACCATTTTTCCACCTAATCTCTTTCTGGATTTTGACGAGACTATTTTTGACTGATAGCTGATGTGATAAGGAGTAACTTAGGCTACATTTATTTTAGAAAAATAAAGTTAAATTTCACGCGGACAAAGTCGCGGTTACAGGTAGTTAATAAGTATAATATGTATAAAGTAGGCCATACCTCCCGCTCGTGCTGCGCCTCCAGACGCTCGAAGGTGACAGCTCCGAGGATACAGTAAGCCACCACCAGGCTGATCATCACGAAGTGCGAGAACACCACCGAGCACAGCTTCCATGTGTAGTACAGCACCTATATCACATTTATGTAACCGGTAGGGAAAAAATTACAACATAAAAAATTTTACGTTCATAGGCGGCTAAAATGTCCTACATGAATAAATGATTTTTGAATTTGAATTTGAATAACAAAAAATTGACATTACCAGCGACTTCCATTTGGCCGCATTCAGAACCGAGCAGCCAGAATCATTGGTAATCAACGTCTATGTGACGGACTCGACCCATTGGCTTTGCGGCGAGATATTGCATCTCTGTGCATTTTCTACCGCATATATTACGGGGAGTGTTCTTAGGAATTGTTCGGATTAATACCAGCTGCTGAGTTTCACCACCGTGCCACCCGCCAGAAACTGAAATACCATCCTGATCATCTGGTTGAATGGCGGTCCTCCACAGTGCAGTTTTTAGAAACTTTGTGCTGCGCACAACCACATTGTGGCATCACCTTCCAGCAATGGTATTTCCGAACCGATACGATATTGAAACCTTCAAGAACAGAGCTTATTCTTTTTTAAAAGGCCGACAACGTACTGGCAATTCCCCTGGTATTGCGGGTGCTCATGGGCGGCGATAATCATTTACCATCAGGTGAGCCGCATGCTCGTTTGTCCCTTGTATTATAAAAAAAAACCTATAGATGTGAGCAAAGGACTGTATATATATTAAGCTGATAAATACAATTACGATGAGACTGTTTTTAGAAGGAATAGTATTTGATATTTATTTATTCAGTAACAATTTATATTTTTTTTTTCTCAGCACAATTCACACAGCGCCATCTAGACCCAAGTTAAGCTAGCTAAAGCTTGTGTTATTGGTACTAGATAACTGATACAAATACATAGATATTTTTTTCGTAAATACATTATATACATAGAAAACACCCAGACCGATACAAACAATCATACTCATGAATACAAATGTTTGTGCCGTGCGAGGAATCGAACCCGCGACCATCGGTCGTAAAGCGGTGTGCTAGACCACCACCACGACCTCGGTGGTCTAGTGAGACCACCGAGGTCGTCAATTATACGTATCAATAGTAAATCAAATAAAAGAGGAATAGTACTGTAAATATAATATTTTTCTATATCAAATAATAGAAAAAAAACATATGTATATAGTAATATATAAAGGTGCGACGCGCAAATGTGTATATATATACAAATGAATCTGTATTATTGTAAACATGTACAACATTTATTTGAAAAGAATACGAGCTGAGTTTCATGTCAGTTCTCTCGAATCATAAATAATCATATGGATTTCTTTGTCTGTTTTTAAATGTATATTACATTTAAAAAAAGAGTGAGATTTTGTTATTAGTGTATAAAACGTACACTATATCTTTTTCTGTTTGAAATATATCAACATTATTTCAGTTACATATAATCTTATAATAATAGTATCTATATTTTACAGCTCACAAGGAAACTTACATTGTAAATAAATTGTGTTTAAATATCCAAATTATTCCTTGTGACAGTCTAAAGTCTGGAATTTTTTTTAATTGTATTTGTTTTAAAGACTAACGAGAGTCTAGCAGTTTAACAGACTGCCTTTCTTCCGATGGTCGCGGGTTCGATTCCTCGCACGGCACAAACATTTGTATTCATGAGTATGATTGTTTGTATCGGTCTGGGTGTTTTCTATGTATAATATGTATTTACGAAAAAAAATATCTATGTATTTGTATCAGTTATCTAGTACCAATAACGCAAGCTTTAGCTAGCTTAACTTGGGTCTAGATGGCGCTGTGGCGATGAATTGTACTGAGGTTATTTTTTTTATACATTTTGTATTCTCGAATTTCTTGGGTGCCTTTTTATTATTATTATTATTAATATTTCAATAGATTACCTTTGCACATTTGCTGGGCGGTGGTAGGGGTGTCACAGGGTACTCCGGCCGCTCAATGCGACCCTCCCTTCGCGACATTGTTACAACTACCCACTAACAATATCATAAAACATACATATACATATAAATAAAATTGGAGTGTCTGTAATATTGAAATAATCGTTTTTTACTACATGCATATGAATATAAATACAGTATATACACCAAAATATTTATTTTACAATTTTTGTCTGTCTCTCTGTTTGTTCCGGCTAATCTCTGAAATGGCTGGACCAATTTGGATGGGACTTTTTTTGGCAGGTAGCTGATATAATAAGGAGTAACATAGGCTACTTTTATTTTAGAAAAATAAAGTTAAATTCCATACAGATAGTGTAACACTAAATTCACACGCGTCAATAAACTACAGACAACATGTTTTACAACAACCCAATTTATTTGCATCATCAATTTCATTCGTAATCACTTGTAACGCCACTAAATCCTATGTTTATATTACATCCAATCCTCACTGATGATCAGTCATCAATAAAATCACTTTATACGCTTATCATCGTATGAAACGACTGATTTTCAGGTTATTAAAGATTCATAATAAATATTTATAATAATTCTAAAACTAGATTTTCGTGCGGGCGTGGCGCGTGCGCTCGTAGGTACATATCAGCGGCCGACACCGATGTTACTGCGGGATAAATTGGGAACAGAGAATCCGCCAACACTGAGTTTTACGATCAAACACGAATAGGTTTATTTGGGTCGGATCGAGTTATTCCATTCATGATTATATGAGTGTTAGCGTATAATATAGGCCTGTATTTATATGCAGTAATATTAAAATAACCGTTTTTTACTACATGCACATGAATATAAATACGGTACTTACATCAAAATAACATTTTTTACAATTTTTGTCTGTCTGTCTGTCTGTTTGTTCCGGCTAATCTGGCGGGTGCCTGTGCTAAGTGTTTTTTTTGCGGATGATAATGGTATCATTCATAAAAAAACTCTTTTATTTACACTAAAACAACACTTATAAAAGATACGTTTATTTTATTAATTTACAACAATAATTGTTGTTTGCATAATGCATTGAAATACTTATAATTAAACATCATTTTGCTTTATTTATTATATTAAATACAATTGGACATGGAATTCATTGCACTATATTTATCTATATTTATACGGCACTATGATTGATTTATATAGGCTGATATAATTAATTAAATATACCTTTAAGCCGGGTACGATACGGGACAATCATACCAATTAACTTTTAGGTGTTTTTTTTTTTTTTTATGTTTTTTTTTTTTTTATTATTATCTGTATTAATGTAATTAATTTTAGGTTTAAATAATAACATCGATTGTATCTTGTGGAATAATATATGAAATTAAATATAATATATAATAATAAATTATCTATACATATAAATAAAATTGGAAATTTTGTAATATAAATAACCGTTTTTCGTACATTTGGACGGACCAACGGCGGATGCAGGGGTCATGGGGACTCATGTCCCCCCCCTGAGCCCAGGACTTAGGTGGACCACTAATTGAACATAATGATTTTATTTATATATTTTGTCGCCATACAGATTTTATTAATATTTTAAAGTACAGTTTATAAAATTACGTACATTAATAAAATACCTACTTTTTAATTGTATCTATTGTTATCAAAATTAAATTATAAGTTCTTGACTTGACCACGACTATGTGACCCCCTCCTGGCACCAAAGCTGGATCTGCCGTTGGGACGGACAGACAGCTACAGCGACTTTATTTTATACTGTGTAATGATACGGATACGAATCACAGATTTACACTTATAAAGTGTAAATATATTATATAATTGACTTACTATATAAAATTGACCTTAGCCTAGAGTTGCCAACTGTCCTGTTTTCCCAGGACATATCCTAGTTTTTGTAGTGTCCTGGGGTGTCCTGGATAGTTTTTAAACAGCGTTCTGGGTTTTTAAAACCCTCTAAATAAGATCATGTAATTTCATCATTCTCGCGTCATTTTTACAATGCCTGCTCGAATTGTAGAGTTTTTTTAAATTACTTTTAAGTATTAAAGACTGATTATTATCATTACTTGAATTTTAATTTAGCCTATTGACATTATATAATAATATAATTGTAACAAGTATATTACTGAGTCCTGGTTTTAAACTAAATTGTCCTGGTTTTTTCAACTCACTAACTAATGTGGATTCATGACCTCATTACTAGCAATGTCCGGTTGACCTCCACGTGGTTCCCCCTGGAAACCATCGTGATGAATTCCTGGTGAATTTGTCACGATGGGCTAACTGACCTGACCTCATGTTCATCTTATCATCCTCCACTGGTGCCCCGCCAGCGTAAACCGTTAGCGCAGGCGGGTGCACCATTTCATTATCATACATAAAATAAAAACTCCAAATGCTAGTTTTTTAAATTTGGTATTGGCAACCCTACCTTAGCCCTCTATAGTCCTGTTTTGTAATGGAAAGTACACACTATCCTGAGGAGATAAAAACCATCGCTCCTAAGAACCCCCTCCGATCGATCCCCCGTCCAATTCAAACGGGGATCGATATTACGACGGCCTGAGTCGAGGTTCGAACCCCTAGTGGTGTCAGACTAAAGTCGTATCAGTCAGGCAGGAGTTGGCCTTCAGCCGCTTCATAAGTCCTTCCTTGGCTTGGAGTGCCATCTGCACCCCCCTAACGTCCGGTGACGTTGTAAAGGCCAGCTGCGGCCAACAGCATTAGAGTAGTCCGAAACAAAAAAAAAGGTCCTAAGAATATATTTCAATTCTTGTCCCTGACGGACCTAGGTAACGAACTCTGAGCGAGCACAATAGATTTCTATAGGTCACAGAGCTACAGCTCTAAAACAAAGAGTAACAGCTCAAACATCTCAATAAAAAACCTATCAATTGGTCATAATTATTGGCTAATAAATAAGTATTTTACCACATATAGTCATATAAATAGACTAGCTTTTGCCCGCAGCTTAGCTCGCGTTAATTTATCCCCTTAGGGGTGGAATTTATCAAAATCCTTTCTTAGCGGATGCCTACATTATAATATCTACTTGCATGCCAAATTTCAGCCCGATCCGTCCAGTGGTTGGCTGTGCGTTGATAGATCACTACGTCAGTCACCTTTGAGTTGTTATATATATCGTAATTGCACTAATTTTACGTGTATGTCAACTCATTTTAGTTTGCTGTTGATGTAAACAAACTCTGTTCAAATTAATAGCTATTGAAACACCAAGACAAGAAGTGACACGTTCAGATTCATATAAATTAAAATTCGTAACGTCATCTATAGCTACGTACCTATATCTGTTATACATTTGATCACAGTTTAGATTTGTCACATGTTTACTAGTGAGTACTATCAGTCTTTTGTCCTTACATAAGTAATTTCTATAGTATGAAGAGTATGGTAGAAATATTCTGTATTGAACCAAAATTAATGTATGCACATTGTGAAAGTACCGCCTTCATGTTTCTACTGGAGCATTACTGATCATAACTCAGCAGAGGATCATGAATAAGAAACAGTACATGTTTCAAAAAAGTTGTAGTGTAAATGTGTAGAGGTCACAGTAAATAGCAATATTATGAAGGAATTAAAATTTTCAAAAGAAAAAATTTGTTACAAACAAGCATACGAGTAATTCGATGGTAAACGGTTACCATAGTCTATGAACGCCTAAAACAACCGAATCACTTACGAGTTACCGACTCTTAAGAAACCTTATCACAATGCGTATTAAGTTTTGCAATTTCTTAAGTTCTACCACAATCTGAGCATTAGCTGGAGGTAAATTCTCTAAAATCGCATTTACCTAAGGCCTGTTAAGTTTCCCAGGAAATGGCGAGATTTGCAATAGCAGAAGGGTTTTTCTATGACAAATTTTAGCTGTGACCAATCGTCTTACAAAATAAATATGAAATTTATATCTATAGCCTAGAATTATTCATTTGTATGTCTTCTGTGACGCCGGCGGGTGTAATCTTGCGGCTCGCAATCTGCTCCGCTTCCTTTATGGTGTCAGGTAACCTCGTGTTCAGCGTCTCTGGCGTGGTCAGCATCAGACCGCCGGCCACGAGTGCAGCACCGCCGAACAGCACTGATGGCAGCCAATCCACGTAGATCGCCTGCAAGAGTTTTTTTATAAACCAGCTGACCCTACATTACACTTATTATATTTCACCCAATTTATCTAATATCTTCTTAAATTATAGCCTATGTGTTATTGTGACGTATAAGCTGTATTACTGTAAAGCTTCATCAAAATCTGTATAGTTTTTGCGTGAAAGAGTAACAAACATCCATCCATACTCGCAAACTTTCGCGTTTATAATATTCATAAGATGGTAATAATACAATAAATTTGTAAATTATATTTGCACGAAAAAACAATTATACTCTGTGTAACTTATGGTTGAGTGGTAGGAAGATTCGGATGGCAAATGAATAGAAAGGAATAGAATAGAAGAGATATTGCTAACTCTAAGCTCAGTTCGGAATGATTTCGAGATGAGAAGAACTGACAAGAAACTCAGCTCGTATTCTTTTCAAATAAATGTTATATATGTTTACAATAATACAGATTCATTTTTAAATTTAAATTTGGAAGAATAGAAAGACCACCAGCATATGCTATTGTTTTTTTTAAAAAAGAAATAATGTAAACTGTGGTTTTAATCCAAACATCTCCCGTTCACAAGTGTGACGAATCTAAGTTCAAATCCCCGATACGTCAAACATCTTATCAAATTTAAAGTAAGTTTTATTTGCTAAAGCAAATAGTCTAATCAGTGTTCATAACTCTTTTATGGTAAGACAATAATTACCAGTAGAGGCATCTGCGGCGCCACGATGGACCCTATCCGGCCGACCATGGAGCAGAAGCCGAGCAGCGAGTGCCGTGCGTGCGTGGGGAACAGCTCCGAGGTGTACATGTAGATGCCGCTGAACGCCTGCGTAATCGCTATCTTCCCCAACAGGTACAGTGTTGTCACCAGCCATGGCAGAGCTGTGCAAATTGTTCACATTATTGTCGATCCTTTTTTATGTAGGAATTTTTTTTTTATTAAATGTATTTGTTTCTCTACTGTTTTTATTATCACATTTTTTTTTGTATTATAAATATGGTTAGTCGTTGTTTATATGACCAGGACTGCACTCAAACCCATCATGTACTTCTAGTGCTCTATTTTTTTTATAACACAGGGGACAAACGAGCATCTGATGGTAAGTGATTACCGCCGCCCATGAGCACCCGCAACACCAGGGGAATTGCAAGTACGTTGTCGGCCTTTTAAAAAGGAATAAGCTTTTTTCTTGAAGATTTCAATATCGTATCGAAACTATACTCTTTAATGTCTCATTTAATTCGTACCTTCTAAACCTGAACATAGAGTAGTCTTGGTGTATTATAAAATTTACAATTATGCAATTTAATATTATGAATACTATCTTTTAGTTCTAACAATAATTATAGTGTAGCCTAATCTAGTCTAACAATGTTTTAGACATGCAATATCTTGAGCTCAGTCAATGAAAAATAAGACGTATATATCAGGTCGAAATATCAACAGCTTTTAAGATCCTTCTAAAATATATCTATCCAATAAATAAAATTGGAGTGATTGTTTGTAATAATGAAATAATCGTTTTTACTACTTGCATAGGAATATATATATGGTACATATACCAAAATAACATTTTATATCATTTTTGTCTGTCTGTCGGTGTGTTTGTTCCGGCTAATCTCTGAAATGGCTGGACCGATTTTGACGGGACTCATTTTGGCAGATAGCTGATGTAATAAGAAGTAACTTAGGCTACTTATATTTTAGAAAAAAAAAATAGAAAAATAAAATAAAATTCCACGCGGACGAAGTCGCGAGAACAGCTAGTATATTATATATTTTAAAATCTGGACAGATTATGAAAAATACTTGGTGGTACGTTTAGTTCGTCTGAGTACATACTCAATTACATGCGCCAGTAATTGTATTGGAAAACGTACCAGCACGTATAGAAAAAGTAACAGTTCCAAATACTGTGAAAGTAAATTAAGTCAACGCTAAAAGTAGTGCTAGAACTACCATCCTGTCATGTACACGACACGAACCCATATAAATATAAAAAGAACTCACATTTAGGAACAAACGTTATCGCCACGCACGACAGCCCGCACACAATGTACGCCACCAGCAACGTCCGCTTCCTTCCAATCCTATCCAGCACCAGCGCGTTGGTGACCACTGCAATCACCTCCACACTCACAACCAGCATGTAGTTCGTATACTTGTCACCAGCCAGCGACACCGAGTTGATGGCCAGCCCGTAGAACACAAACGTACAAGTTATCCACCACCAGGAACAAATAGCCAATCGTGTCATTATAATTGGAGACTTCAGCACCTGCATCCATAATCCTTGCTCTTCCGACTCCTCTTTCTTCTGTTCTACCGGTTTCTGCTTCTCCTCATTCAACTGTTTCATGGTTTCATCTGATAATGTCACTTTATTCATCTTAGCTGCCCTCATTATTATTTGTACAGCTTCTTCTTTGTAACCTTTAGATAGTAGCCATCTGATGCTCTCGGGGAGTAGATAGATGTAGGAGATGAATAGCAAAGATGGAGGATACACTACAAGGATGAATGTACGCCAGTACGAAAAAGTCTTTGCAAGCATTGCGAAGCTGAGACCTCCTAATACTAACAGGATGCCCAGAAATGCTGTAGTCAATACTCGTTTGTCTTGACCAAGGAGTTCAATTGCTGAAATAAAAATAGAAATAATCTTTATTCGAATAAATTTTGAATAGTCATGTATTTTTTATTATACCACTCATTCGGAAAGCAGACTCATCATAAGAAGAACAAGAAAAGACTTGCGCGTTGCTCTTTTAAATAGCTGTTTTTCTAAATTAACACACATTCATAAATCTTTAATAATCCTTGTCATTAACAAGGATTGAGTACACGACAATCAACATATAGATTATATTGTCAGCGCTATGAATTTTAAGTTACATTTTTTCTACAAAAACATTATTATCATTTATAAACTCATCAATTTTATAATAAACTTTTTTACAATGAAAAGGAACAAATATAGACCAATTAAACAAGTGCTTAAACCATTTCATAGATGAGTACACGCAATAAGTGTTGCGTGTCACCTGTTTCTGCAGCCAAGCAGCTTGCTTTATAAAATGTGTTTCGGTTGTAAGGTGCAGATTAGTCAGTGAAATTACAAGATAAGAAGCATGACATCTTAGTCTCTGGAATGGCAACGCATGAGTGGTACCACGGGTGTCACATGATAGCGTGGTATCCGTAGTGCTGTTCATGTATAGGTACATAGACGACGGTTTCCGCTTACCATCAGGTACACCGCAAACTACTTCGCTATTTTAATCTACATAAATATATACTCAAAGGTGACTGACATAGTGATCTATCAACACACAGCCCAACCCACTGGACGGATCGGGCTGAAATTTGGCATGTAGGTAGATGTTATGACATAGGCATCCGCTAAGAAAGGATTTTGATTAATTCTACCCTCTCTAATAGAGGATGAAAGTTTGTATGAAAGTACTGTAAAGCCAAAACTATACCTAATAATAATACTTCTTAACGCGGGCAAAAACTAGTTACATAATAAAACATGCAATGAAATTATTAAGAATATAAATAGTAAGTATATGCTTACTGAGGATGTAGGCGGCGGGGAAAGCACTGGCACCAGCGAGTGTCTCCAGGAACTCGATAATGACATACATCTCATAGGAAATTGAGAAAGCCTTGAGCGAGCCGATAGCTCCGACCAGCGTGCAGCTCAGGATCAAGGCACGTTTGCGACCCCAACTGCAATTTTATGAGGCAAAACATTAGAATTTTACCGTAAAGTAGATAAGTATACGTATAGTATACGATTATTTAGTATACGATTCATTTCTTTATCATCATCATCATCATCGCAGCCTGGAAGACGTCCACTGCTGGACATAGACCTCCCCCAAAGATCTCCACGACGATCGGTCCTGCGCTGCTCGCATCCAACGTCTACCAGCGACCTTGACTGTGGTCGCCACTCGAGGATTTTAGTGCCCCAACGGCCATCTATCCTACGAGCTAAGTGCCCTGCCCTTTGCCACAAAACAAATAACTAAAATTACTGAAACTTTTTTGATATAGCACGTGATGAATATTAGAATAGTGAGCAGCAACTTTCGTTTCCACGGCAACTAAATGTACTTTACATTTTATCCCAGAATGTTACGATGACTTTTGCGCATTCTGTCGCATTTTTGATCTTCCTTTGTGCAGGATATTAAGCACAAAGGATCCTGTCCTTTATAGAATAGATGGGCCATAGTCGAGCGGGTGTAATGTATAAATGTGAAGTTACCGGTCGGAGATGTATCCGAAGATAGGCAACGAGAACAGCATCCCGATGTTGTGTATGGTGCCCACCAGGGTGCGCTTCCACTCCTGGCACGCCAGGTTAAACTGGAACATAAACACGATCACAGTTACCACAACCGTCACAAATATCAATACAAATCATTATCTAAATGGATTTCTTTCTATATTTATACTAGCTGTACTCGTGACTTCGTCCGCGTGGAATTTAACTTTATTTTTCTAAAATGAAAGTAGCCCAAGTTACTCCTTATTACATCAGCTACCTGCCAAAAAAAGTTCCGTCAAAATCGGTCCAACCATTTAAGAGATTAGCCGGAACAAACAGACAGACACAAAAATTGTAAAAAGTATTATTTTGGTGTATATACTGTATTTACATTCATATGCATGTAGTAAAAAACGGTTATTTCAATATTACAAACAGACACTCCAATTTTATTTATATGTATAGATTTTTTATTTTGTGTTTTATTTGTAAAATTGTATTATTTGTTATATGTTGGTAATAAATCAATCAATAGATTTATATAGATATATACATATATAAAAACTATATTTTTCTGTTCAACTGCACCGTGACACGAGACCTCGTGGATTTAAGCCACAGCCAGCGACGCGTTACATCTATATATATAAATAAAATTGTGAGTGTCTGTTTGTAATATTGAAATAACCGTTTTTACTACATGCATATGATATGCATATGGTACATACACCAAAATAACATTTTTTATAATTTTGTCTGTCTGTCTGATTGTTCCGGCTAATCTCTGAAATGGATAGACCGATTTTGACGGGACTTTTATAAGCAGGTAGCTGATGTAATAAGGAGTAACTTAAGCTATCTTAATTTTAGAAAAATAAAGTTATATTCCACGCGGACGAAGTCGCGAGTCTATATAAGACTATACAAAGATTAAAATTAGAAATATACAAGACTCAACCGAAAGTTATTAGATCTAAATTAGATTTTAAAGTGATTCATCTCCTTTAATTAAATTAGCTTAAAATAATTAAATTTAACTGATTGAAAAGGTTTTAATCTCGCGGACGAAGTCGCGTATACAGCTAGTGATGATTACAATGTGTGCAATGGACCGCGCCTGCAGCATCTGACGCCGCCTCTCTCATGACCTCATTCAGTAACCCTGACATCTGACACAGTTTACTGACGATCACAAGCAAAATTTTGCTCATCTGATAGCTATTTTCATCCCAATAGACTGATAATAATAATATCTAAGGATTGATTGATTGGGACCATTGTAGTATAAAAAATAAAAAAAAAATTACACAGCGCCATCTAGTGTCAAGTTAAGTTTGTGTATAAATGTGATATAAATACAAACATAGTTACATTTTTTGTGAATAATAATAATCTCAGGACAATTCACACAGCGCCATCTAGGCCCAAGTTAAGCTAGCTAAAGCTTGTGTTATGGGTACTAGATAACTGATACATATACATAGATTTTTGTTTTTGTAAATACATACTAGGGACTAGGGATTATAATAGACGGCCGCGATGGTCTAGAAGTTAACACACCGCCTTACTTCCGATGGTCGCGGGTTCGACTCCTCGCACGGCACAAACATTTGTATTCATGAGTGTTTGTATCCGTCTGAGTGTTTTCTATGTATAATATGTATGTATTTAAGAAAAAAAAAATATCTATGTACTTGTATCAGTTATCTAGTACCCATAACTCAAGCTTTAGCTAGCTTAACTTGGGTCTAGATGGCGCTGTGTGAATTGTCCTGAGATTATTATTATTTATATACTAAGCCGACTTTTATTATTTTTATGAGGTACTACTACTACTGTGCCCTGAGGTTTCGCTCGCGTTAAATTTCAATATAAAATATAGCCCTTGTGTTATTTTGATGCATAAACTATGTTACTGTAAGGTTTCATAAAAATCCATTAAGTAGATAGTTTTTAAAAGATAGAAGTATAGATCTTGACTAAAACCTAGTCTTGGTTCAAATGATGTTTATAAATCCAGTAAAATTGAAACGGACGATATGCTAAATAGAAGAAATAAGATATCACATATAAAATTAAGAAGACTATGAAATAGAAGCAATTGTAGACAATGACCTCTTATTAACTGTGAGGAGATTGTTTAATTGCAGGAAACTACCGCCCCTCTCAAATTAGTAGGACCACGTCCTGCTATTAGGTAAGGTAACTCATCAACAAACTAGTTTTACCCAAGTACCGTTTGACGAAAGTTAGTAATTCGTTTTATGGAAATTGCGTAAGGTTTTACAACAAACTACCAGAGTCTGTACTCGATTTGCCAGAAAATAAAAATTCAAATGTATTATAAAATATTTTCTTTGTAAAAAAGCTTATTATAAAGTTGAAGAATTTATAAATGATAATAATGTTTTTGTAAAAAATATCTAACTTAAAATTCATAGCGCTAAAAATGTAATCTGATTGAATAGAGATTAAGTGCGTAGCGGTTTCTATGTTGATTGTCGCATGCCTAATCCTTGTTAATGTAAATCTATTTAAAACAACATCTATTTAATAGAGCAACACAGAAGTTTCTCGCTCATTCTTCTTGTGATGAATCTGCATTCCGAATGAGTGGTAGAATAACAAAATGTGACTATTCAAAAGTGCTTGTATTAAGTTTATTTGAATAATAAAGATTATTTCTATTTCTATTTCTATTTCTAATGTATATTGTAGAGCACTTCAATTTGGACTCCATGATATCTTCTATCCAGAAGCAAGTTAAGAAATTATTTCCGATACACGCTAATCTTAATCTTAGTAATATTATAAACGCAAAAGTTTGTAAATATGGATGTTTATTACTCTTTTACGCAAAAACTACTGAACGGATTTTGATGAAATAGAAACAGAAATAATCTATATTCAAATAAACTCATTACAAGCACTTTTGAATAGTCATATTTTGATTCTACCACTTATTCGGAATGCAGTTTCATCACTAGAAGAATGAGGAAGAAACTTGTGTGTTGCTCTTTTGAATAGATGTTTTTTTTTATATAAATAATTACAGTATAACAAGTAAGAGGCATGCGATAATCAATATAGAAATCGCTACGCACAATACGAAACTTTACAGTAATATAGCTTATGCATCAGAATAACATATTGGCTATATTTTTTATTGAAATTTAAAGGGGGTGAAACCGCGTGCTTAGCTATCTAACAAGTAAGTAACAATTAAGTTACAACAAACAAAAGCAAATTGACTTTATAAAAGAAAACTCAGAAAACCAAAATCCTCTTCATTCTGCCTGTTTGTCCTTGCTAATCTTTTAAACAGCTGGACCGATTTTCACGGGACTTTCGGGAGTAACTTACGATACTTTATTTAAAAATTTCATTTGTTTTAATACATGCTTACGAAATCGCGTGAAACTGCTAGTTTTATAATGTACTTATAATAAGAACGAGTTAAATAGTTATTGTTCTTTATCTGAGTGAAGTACGTGTCTCCCTACACGTACATATACATATACATATAAATAAAATTGGAGTGTCTGTTTGTAATATTGAAATAACCGTTTTTTACTACATGCATATGAATATAAACACGGTACATACAGCAAAATAACATTTTTTACAATTTTTATCTGTCTGTCTGTTTGTTCCGGCTAATCTGTGAAATGGCTGGACCGATTTTGATGGGACTTTTATTGGCAGGTAGCTGATGTAATAAGGAGTAACTTAAGCTACTTTTATTTTAGTAAAATAAAGTTAAATTCCACGCGGACGTAGTCGCGGGTGCAGGTAGTTGACTTATAACATGCAAGGCATCGTAACTTTCGCAAACAACGAGTTCCCATACAAATAGTCCATAATAACTAATCACACAATACAAAAAACTATTTTTGTGTTCAAATGTCAACATGGCAGTTGAGCTTTTATTTGCCAAAATTCCACGCGGACGAAATCGCGGGTACAACTAGTATATACATATAATGACTTATCGTTTATGTGCCGAGACGAGACATTACCAGTGCAAACACTACGATCCAATTGTCCGTCAAACATAAATAATCCACTGTAGTCTAATAACAGTAGCTAGTGGTCAACCAGTGGTCAATATTCAACCATAATTAATTTAACAAATTTCAGTGCGGTTTCAGAGGAGTATTCTCCCGTAAACCTAGATTGTAGAACTACACTTTCTATTCTACTACACTACTGCTAACTTCCTGTCGAGGTTTTCTCACGAGACTACAGCATGGGGTTTTTCAAGAAGGGTATATTAAGGTTTCTTAAGGGTCGGCAACGCGCACGTAACACCATATATAAAAAAAAGGTTTTGACAAATAGATATACTGACACATATTCGCAATTTTGAGGCCCCGAGACCTCTCCCCGTGCAAAATGTGTTACTAGTCAAGTCAAAATATCTTTATTCATGTATGTCTATTACAGACTCTTATGATATGTCAAATCTACCGTCAGTTCGGAATGATTTCGAGATGAGAAGAACTGACAAGAAATTAGCTCGTATTGTTATCAAATAAATGTTGTACATGTTTACTCTGATAGTGATCCATTTATTTTAGGAAGAATGTAGAGAGACATTTTTTCAAAAAGAAATTATTTAATCTACTATGATTTTTTATAACTTCCTAGCTACTCGCCCCGCATTCGTACGTGTGTACATGTATTATAAATATAAACCTTCCTCTTGAATTACTCTATCTATTAAAAAACCGCTTCAAAATCCGTTGCGCAGTTTTAAAGATTTAAGCATATATTGGGATAGACAGACTTCGATTTTAGCGACAGCGACTTTATTTTACTATGTAATGATTAAACTCGATGAAATTTTGTCCATAGGTTAAAGCAACTAATAATTTTCCATAGTACCCTCCAAAATACAGACCTCCGTTATATAATAAAACTGAAAATTATTCTGCAGCCGCAATCAGAAAGTAACCAGGAAAATTGCTAATGAGTGAAAACAATATATGCATCTAGACTATGGCTCTATGTGGACACTAAATCGAGTAAACTTAGGTCTGAGCTCAACCACAATCTGCAGATTTTAAGCTGAAGAGGAAACGCCACTACACATCCTCTGTGGTTGTAGCCCACTCATGCATAAACGAAATATCTCCTTTGGAAAGTATACACTCTATCCTGAGGAGATAAAAACCATCGCTCCTAAGAATATCCTTCAATTCTTGTCCCTGACGGGGCTAGGTAGCGAACTTTGAGGAAGGGCGAGCACAATAGATCTATACAGGTCGCAGTGTTACAGGTCTTAGCACCTGACAGTAGCTCAAAACTCCGAAGAAAAGAAAAGATTGGAGAAGAAGTAAAATAAAAGAGAGTTGAGAGATATAGACGACAGAATCTGTGGTCTAGTAAAAAAATGTCAATAAAAATAGGTCAATACACAGATAAATAAAATTGGAGTGTCTGTTTGTAATATTGAAATAACCGTTTTTTACTACATGCATATGAATATAAACACGGTACATACAGCAAAATAACATTTTTTACAATTTTTATCTGTCTGTCTGTTTGTTCCGGCTAATCTCTGAAATGGCTGGACCTATTTTGACGGGACTTTTATTGGCAGGTAACTGATGTAATAGAGAGTAACTTAGGCTACTTTTATTTTAGAAAAATAAAGTTAAATTCCACGCGGACGTAGTCGCGGGTGCAGGTAGTTGACTTATAACATGCAAGGCATCGTAACTTTCGCAAACAACGAGCTCCCATACAAATAGTCCATAATAACTAATCACACAATACAAAAAAACTATTTTTGTATTCAAATGTCAACATGGCAGTTGAGCGTTTATTTGTCAAACTTACCACATCAGCGACCACAGTGATCTTGATGATCTCATCACCATCTTTGTGTTGTTTTAATATCATCAGGGTATACACTGGTTGTGTGTATTGTCAAGTATGTACTTGACAATACACACAACCAGTGTATAATATATGTATGTACATATATTCAATTAATAATACATATTTTATTAATTGAATAAAAAAGCTATTAATTTGTAATTACAAACAGTTAATTTCATTAGAGCTTATCTATATATTGACTTATAAATCAAAGGTGACTGACTGACATAGTGATCTATCAACGCACAACCCAAACCACTGGACGGATCGGGCTGAAATTTGGCATGCAGGTAGATGTTATGACGTAGGCATCCGCTAAGAAAGGATTTTGATAAATTCCACCCCTAAGGGGATAAAATAGGGGATGAAAGTTTGTATAAATCTTCTTAGATTTTCGACTGATTGAACTGAAATTAAAGATTGAAGACGTTCGTTTAAATAGGATTTTGATAAATTCAACCCCCATGGGAATAAAATAAGGGATGATGCAGGATGTAAATGTATTAGTTTGAACCAATCAGTACCTAATGTCACGAATGAATTAAGACGAACAAAATAATTTTTAGTTCTTTAGGCTACTTTTATTTAAAAAAAATAAAGTTAAATTCCACGTGGACGAAGTCGCGGGAACAGCTAGTTTAATATAATGTTCTATACATATAAATAAAATTATAAATTATAATTATACAAACAGACACTCTGTCTGTTTGTAATATTGAAATAACCGTTTTTTTACTACATATGAATATAAATATGGTACATACACCAAAATAACATTTTTTACAATGTTTGTCTGTCAGTCTCTCTGTATGTTCCGGCTAATCTCTGAAATGGCTGGACCGATATTGACGGGACTTTTGTTGGCAGGTAGCTGATGTAATAAGGAGTAACTTAGTCAGCTTTTATTTTAGAAAAGTTAAATTCCACGCGGATGAAGGGAGTAAATCAATGGATTATTTTGTTATGTCCATCATAACATAACACGAGTCTTTTTTGTAATATAACAAAAATAAACTATGATAAACTTACCTCAGTCACAATAGTATCGTTGGATGCGTACAGCCACTGGTCACACTCCTGCAGTTCCTCGGAAAAGGTGGCGCCGTCGCAGGACTCCTGAGGGTCTAGAGGAGACCTCCGGGAGCAGCGCCGCTCCCGCCCCCCGGCCGGCAGCTCGGCTTCCAGCCATAGCGGGCTGTAATCTGTACTGTTGGATGCTTCGCACTCTGGTACCACGCATCTGAAAGTAAGAGATATATTTTTTTTTATAGCTGTTTTATAGTATACTAGCTACTCGCCCCGGCTTCACACGGGTGTACATGTATTATACATTAGCTGTACTCGCGACTTCGTCCGTGTGGAATTTAACTATATTTTTCTAAAATAAAAGTAGCCTAAGTTCCTCCTTATTACATCAGTTACCTGCTAAAAAAAGTCCTGTCAAAATTGATCCAGCCATTTCAGAGATTAGCCGGAACAAACAGACTTGTAAAAAATGTTATTTTGGTGTATGTACCGTAATTATATTCATATGCATGTAGTAAAACACGGTTATTTCAATATTACAAACAGACACTCCAATTTTATTTATATGTATAGATCCTACCTTCCTCTTGAATCACTCTATCTATTAAAAAAACCGCTCCAAAATCCGTTGCGTAGTTTTAAAGATTTAAGCACACACAGGAACAGAGCGACAGCGATTTTGTTTTATTTTAAATTCAAAACATCTGTTAAATCATATTTACTGAGCAAGGCCTATTACTCACTAAACGATTACTTAAATGACGAGCGTGCATGGCAATAGTTGTTCATGCACGGGATTTTCATTTAATGTTAGACATAGACACCTATATAAATATACATTGTAAATAAACTGGCTTTAAAAAAAAAGTAATTCAATTGAGTTTCTTGCCAGTTGGATCTCTCTTCTCAATTGGATCTATATACCGAACCGGACGGTAGGGAAAAAATAAAATTATAATGTAAAAAATTTGACGTTCATAAGCGACTAAAATGTCCTACATAAATGATTTTTGATTTGAATTTACGAAAAAAAAAACTACGTAGGTGTATCAGTTATCTAGTACCTATAACATAAGCTTAACTTGGGTCTAGATGGCGCTGTGTGAATTGTCCTGAGATTATTTTTTTTTTTTATATATATATTATATATCTGCCATTGATGGGGTAATAGACTGATCATTGCGGGTAAAAATCTTATTATTATTATTATTATAGTACTATGCTATAAAATAAAATTATAACAAACGAAGCCGCTTGCAGAGCTCACACACACACGAGTAATGTAAAATAATTGTGTCTTCATACATTGTATGGACGGAAATAAGCTATTACTGTTAAACATTGCCGTGTTTGAAATGTTATCACAAGCATTATGATAATTATACAGTTAGTGCCGGCGTGTACAGACCGACTGACACGATACTGACGTGATGACATGCAGAAACATGGGTATATACAGTCATCATCATCATCTCAGCCCGGAAGACGTCCACTGAATAAAGACCTCCCCCAAAGATCTCCACGACGATCGGTCTTGCGCTGCTCGCATCCATCGCCTTCCAGCGATCTTGACCAGATCGTCGGTCCACCTTGCTGGAGGCCTTACCACGCTGCGTCTTCCGGTTCGCGGACGCCACTCGAGGATTTTACTGCCCCAACGGCCATCTGTTCTACGAGCTATGTGCCCTGCCCATTGCCACTTCAGTCGGGCTATGTCGGTCACTCTGGTTCTTCTGCGGATCTCCTCATTTCTGATTCGATCACGCAGAGAAACTCCGAGCATAGCCCTCTCCATTGCCCTTCAGTGACTCTGAGCTTATTCATGAGGCCCATAGTTAGCGACCACGTCTCTGTGCTGTAGTCACTGGCAACACACATTGGTCGTAAACCTTCGTCTTGAGACACTGCGGTAATTTGGACGAAAAGATATATCGGAGCTTCCGCAACGCTGCCCATCCGAGTTGAATGTACATACAGTATTAAAATAAAAAAAATCCTTGGCAGACATTTAGAGTTACTATCGCATTTATATTTCTTTTTATACTACTATGATGGCCAACATAAGGCCTACCTGATGGTAAATGGTTACGTAGCGTATGGACGCCTGAAACCCTAGGGGTGTCACGTGCGCGTTGTCGGCCCTCTTCTTTTTTTTTATTGTGCATATTTTTGTAACTTCTTTTAGCTTCTGCGTTTCCGCTTTTGGGTTACGCTCGCTTTAGCAGAGTATGTTAAATGTTTTGGAAGAGGTTTTATTTGTTTGGTTTAATTATTATTAACGTTTGTTAGATAGTTTGAGTGTTATTTATAGGCGTGTGTTATATTTATATTTATATATGTTAATATTTACAAGACGAGTGATTGGATTTGCGATGTTCTTTCTTTTACGAGATGGATTATTTGTACTGATGAAATATTTGCGGTTCTTGGTATGTATCCATTCCTTTTTTAGCTTATTTTTCTTTTTTTCTTTCTTTTACGTTTAATTTTTGTTTTGTGTATAACGAATTATTCGTGATTGCCGGTATGTAACCTTTTCTTTTTTTTATTTCCTTTTTTTTGGCGTTTTTGACATTTTTGAGTGATTTCCGTATTTATGCGGTAGCGGTAACGAGCGGTAGAATAAAAAAACTTGACTATTCAAAAGTGCTTATATTAAGTTTATTTGAATAAAGATTTTTTTTTTATAACACGGGACAAACGAGCATGCGGCTCACCTGATGGTAAGTGATTACCGCCGCCCATGAGCACCCGCAACACCAGGGGAATTGCAAGTACGTTGTCGGCCTTTTAAAAAGGAATAAGCTCTTTTCTTGAAGGTTTCAATATCGTATCGGTTCGGAAATACCATTGCTGGAAGGTGATTCCACAATGTGGTTGTGCGAGGCAAAAAGTTTCTAGAAAACCGTACTGTGGAAGACCGCCATTCATCCAGATGATCAGGATGGTATTTCAGTTTCTGGCGGGTGGTACGGTGGTGAAACTCAGCAGCTGGTATTAATCCGAACAATTCCTCAGAATACTTACCGTGATATATGCGGTAGATAGATTATTTCTATTTCTATTTCTGATTAAGTATCTGTGTTTGTTGGTACATACAGTTACTTTAAGAAACCTTAATATACCCTTCTTGAAAAACTCCATGCTGTAGTCTCGTGAGAAAACCTCGGCGGGTAGTTTTATAATATTATTAAGAATTTTCCTTGTATCCAATCACTTTAATTTAAATACAACAGATGATGCAGACACTGTTCGGTTCTTAAGATCTTCGTCTCTCTCAAGGTCCTACTTTGAATAATTATAAATTAAAAGGTCGTAACGAATTTTGCATTCAATGTGTGTATCATCATTACATAGTATAAAACAAAGTCGCTGTCGCTGTCTGTCCCTATGTATGCTTAAATGTTTAAAACTACGCAACGGATTTTGAAACGGTTCTTTTTAATAGATAGAGTGATTCAAGAGGAAGGTTTATATGTATAATACATGTACACCCGTGCGCATTGAAATACCGTTTTTTACTACATGCAGTAGTTACTCCTTATTACATCAGCTACCTGCTAAGAAAAGTCCCGTCAAAACCGGTCCAGCCATTGCCGAGATTAGCCGGAACAAACAGACAGACAAAAATTGTAAAAAATGTTATTTTGGTATGTACCGTATTTATATTCATATGCATGTAGTAAAAAACGGTTATTTCAATATTACAAACAGACACTCCAATTTTATTTATATGTATACATAATACATGTACACCCGTGCGAAGCCGGGGCAAGTAACTAGTTAAGTATAAGTTACATAGTTAAATATCTAATAAGTGTATGACTGTTTACATACATACAAATGTTTAAATAGGGACCTACTACCATCTGCTATCAATTATTAAAACCAAACAATAGAATGGCTCTTTAATGGTCGGTAATTATGCATTGTCAGTTAAACTCAGCTCTCGTTGGTTGTGCTATAAAAAATGCTATTTTGTGGAACAAAATCTGACGTTATTTGTTGTAGCCTAATATCGACAACTACCTACTCGCCCCGGCTTCGCACGGGTGTACATGTATAATGTATACGTATAAATAAAATTGAAGTGTCTGTTTGTAATATTGAAATAATCGTTTTTTACTACATGCATATGATAAATACGGTACATAAACCAAAATGACATTTTTTACAAGTTTTGTCTGTCTGTCTGTTTGTTCCGGCTAATCTCGGCAATGGCTGGACTGATTTTGATGGGACTCTTCTTAGCAGGTAGCTGATGTAATAAGGAGTAATTTAGGCTACTTTTATTTTAGAAACATAAAGTTAATTTCCACGCGGACGTAGTCGCGAGTACAGCTAGTATGTATTATAAACCTTCCTCTTGAATCACTCTATCTATTATAGTAAAAAAAATCGCTTCAAAATCCTTTGCGTAGTTCAAGATTTATGCATACATAGGGACGGACAGACAGCGACAGCGACTTTGTTTTATACTATGTAACATTACGAAAATGATATATGCAATAAATGTGACGATCAATAATTCACTCTTTAAAAAATATTTATACACAAATTACGTTCTGACGGTCGGTGATGGTTTTTTAAAAGAAAAGAAAGTTCATTTAATTAATTTATTTAATTCTAACCTACAATTTAGGAATCGCAATTTATTCGTCCTATACTAAAATTAACCTATTAACGTACGCGACTAAAACTAGAGTGACCGTCGACCTGCCTTCCTTTGTTCTCGCTCTTCTTCTTTGCTGAACCAAATGAGCGCCATCCAAGAAGTAGGATGGCGCTCATTTGATTCAAGAACAACTGTTGGAAAGTATTGGGGCATACTTTCCAAGAACAATCGCTGTATCCATGCCGATGGTGTAACTACAAGTAGGTAGTTATATGGACTTAGGGAGACAAGAACAATCGCTGTATCCATGCCGATGGTGTAACTACAAGTAGGTAGTTATATGGACTTAGGGAGACAAGAACAATCGCTGTATCCATGCCGATGGTGTAACTACAAGAAGTGAGTTATATGGACTTAGGGAGACAAGAACAATCGCTGTATCCATGCCGATGGTGTAACTACAAGTAGGTAGTTAAGGACTTAGGGAGACAAGAACAATCGCTGTATCCATGCCGATGGTGTAACTACAAGTAGATAGTTATATGGACTTAGGGAGACAAGAACAATCGCTGTATCCATGCCGATGGTGTAACTACAAG